GCTTGCTTGCTTCAGTGACGGAGGATTCCAACGTTCCCCATCTCTGAGCCTGCAGTTTCAAACATTGTAACAAATATAGGCTAAACAAAGCCCCAGAAACCAGCTTTCAGCCGGCTGGGATCTCAGAGCTGGAGTTGATACAGAGTTTCGAGAACCGAAACAAACCAGATACCTGCTTTCAGGAGCGGAGGCCTAAGAGCTGGAGCCTCAGAGCTAAAGCTGGTCCAGAATAAAAAAAGAAAAAGAAAAAAAGGAGCAGTTGGGAGCTTCAGTCCCAGCCTGAAAACAGCCCTCAGCCCCTCACCCAGACTGGCCAGGCACCCCAGTGGGGACCCCCACCCTGATCAAAGACACCCTTCAGGGCAAACCAGCCAGCCCCCACCCGTGCACCAGGCCTCTATCCTATATAGTAAAAGGGTAATATGCCTCCCAGCACTGGGATCAGCGGAGCTGAGAGGCCTCCCAGCACCGGGATCAGTGTGACAGGGGCAGCGCCCAAATCCCCTGATCGGCCCTGCTCTGTGCGTGACAGGGGGCAGCACCCCAAACCCCTGATTGGCCCTGCTCTGTGCGTGACAGGGGACAGCACCCCAAACCCCTGATTGGCCCTGCTCTGTGCGTGACAGGGGGTGGCGCCACAACCTCCCCATTGACTCTGCCTTGAGTGTGACGGGGGTGGTGCCCCAACCCCCCAATCGGCCCTACCCTGAGCGTGACTGAGGGTGGCATCGCAACCTCCCAGTCCGCCCTGCTCTGTGCATGACAGGGGGCGGCGCCCCAACTCCCCAATCGGCCCAGCTCTGAGCCTGACCAGGGGCTGCACCTAGGGATTGGGCCTGCCCTCTGCCACCCGAGAGCAGGCCTAAGCCAGCAGGTCGTTATCTCCCAAGGGGTCCCAGACTGCGAGAGGGCACAGGCCGGGCTGAGGGACCCCCTCTCCCCCCCCCCCCCCCCGAGTACACAAATTTTTGTGCACCAGGCCTCTAGTGTATTTATAAGAGGAATAGAATTTTAAAGGAGAGAAATATCTTTTTGTGAATCACAATGTCCTCACTGAGGTCAGGCTGCCACTAGTGAGCCCTGTGACCTTGGTCATGTCTCTGAGCCTCAGTTTCCCTGTGTGGAAAGTGAGTATAACCAGACCTTCCAGCACCACCACCACCCCGCCCTGTGGCCCTGTCAAGTAGCCCATTGTTTTCTGGACATTGTGACTGAGCATGCTCAGGAGACACAGCCATACACCCAGGGGCAGCAGCCTCTGAAACTCGCTGTCATGTCAGTGGCCAGACTCTGAGAACCTGCACACGAACCAAACCCGATACAGAGAGGGAGGAAAAGTCATTGGAGTGTCTGCTTACCTGCCCCTGAGCCCCATCCTGGCCCCTTCTCCCCCAGCACTTTCCCTTTCTCTTTCTCTAAATGCATGTCCTCTTGCTCCTGGCTCCTCCTGGTTGAATAACTGCCAAATAGCTTTGTTTTGTTTCATAGTAAAGTCCTTCCCAGTGAAGAGAACTGCCCAACTGGTGTGAGGAGCAACCGGGACCACAGAGGTGGTGTAGAGATGGCCCTCATCTGTAACCAGCTTTCCATCGTGAACCCAGTGAGTTCCCAGGCATTGGGCACAGGCGATAGTACAGGGCTGAGCCAAGGAAGCCGCTCTGGGTCTCTGAGGAAACCAGGCTGGGGTGGCAGAGGGTGCGTGGGGGGCAGACATGCCCGATGGGACAACCTCTGCCCCAGGCCGGTCTCACCTGCCTCTCAGGACCGAGGGATGATAATCACCCGCATTGGGGCATTGCACAGATGGTGACAGAGCTCCCTCTGGGCGCCCGTCCTGTCCTGGGTGCTGAGTGGAGAAGGGCGCTGGTCAACCCTGGGAGAGTGGGGCTTTATTGGAATGAAAGGGGAGGCCAGTAGGGCTTCCCAGGGAGCCCAACAGCCCGGCTTGGGCACTGACTTAGGAGATGGCCTCCCTGGGTTGAGCCGTTTCCTACCTAGGTGACCTCAGGCGAGCTGCTTTTCCTTCTCTGGGCCTCAGTTTCCACATCTGCAAAATTGGGGTAATCCTTGAACCACCTCCCAGGATTGGGGTAAGGATGCAGGTAGCATGTCTAGGGTGTTTTCATGGTGTCTGGCAGGCGGCGGGGCCTTTGAAGCGTTGCGCATGATTAGGAGTCTGGGGGCAGCAGGGAAGACTTCCTGAGGGGGAGTCTGCTCCCTGGAGGGTGAGTTATCAGGGGCCGGTCCAGGGTGTGTGCACAGGGGCCCTCTGGGGAGTGAGAGAGGAGGGGCGGCCCTGCAGTGTGGGATGCAAAGGGCTGCCTTTCCCACCTTTTGGCCACATGTGTGGCCCTGTCTGGGTGGCTGTGTAAACGCTCTGAGCTTTATTATCCCCACGCCATCCATGGGAAACTGAGGCTCAGAGGCATCGAGGCGACTTACCAGATGTCCCAGATCGTCAAGGAGGAGGGTGCCTTGATTGACCCCAGAAGGGGATGTGCCCACAGGGAGAGCAGTAATGATGGAAGGCAGGCAGGCACAGCCCCAGGCCCAGGATGTGACTGTGCCCTGGACCGGCCTGTGGAAGCCTCTCCCAGCCTTGGCAAACAGGGCCTGGAGGAGGAGTGAGAGAGCCCTTCCTGGGTGGAGTATGGGGTAGGCGGGTGGCTTCGGGGTGACAGCGTGTCCCCTTAGGCTGATTGTAAAATGGGAGATCCCGCCTCCTTCCAGGCGCTGCCATTTTATTATCTTGGTGACTGGTTTTAACTTTTCAGACCTTGGATTCAAATGCCAGCTGTTTCAAATTAGACCCTGCTTGTTGGCAGAGAGTTCAAACAGGGCCTGGGAGTACAAAAAAGAAAAGGATGGGTGTAGCCGCCAGAGGCGGGAGGAGAGCCCTTCCACCCCAAGTAGTCACCCTCTCTTGGGTGACCCAGTGATTTCCATCAGTCAGCATGCACCTCCCTCTTCCTTCAATGTGTGCCAGGAAGAGCCCCTGGCCTGGCTGTTCTGAGGACCAGCTGAACACCAGGAGGGTCTGCCCTGAGGGCCTCAGCCCCATTCCTTGCCAAGCCCCGCTGGCCTCATCTGGCCCCGCCTCCTCAGAGGCCAGGGTGGAAGCTGGAACCACAGGCAGGACAGGACTCGCTGTTTGGTGGGGGAAGCCCTCAGGGAGCCAGGAGCCAGGGGTTCTGTGCTTCATCGTGAGAAGCAGCCTGTGTGGGGCTTCACAGCATGGGTGCTGGGACCCAACCCCACCCTATTACTGACCAGCTGGGTGGCTTTGGGCAAGTTACCAGACCTTCTGTGCTCAGTCTCCTCATCTGTAGGGGTGGCCCTGATAATGGCCAGGGCTGTTGCCAGGATAACTAGGAACAGCCAGAGAAATGGGCCCAGAAGCACCTCAGAACACTTGGTGCAACAGCCTCTTTGCCTGAAAGGCTCCCACTGGCCCCTATGTGAGCCCCCTGTGCCAGCTGTGGCTGGGTGCCTGCTGGGGACACTGCGCCTCCAGAGAGGAAGAGGGGGAAAGAGTCTCAGCCTCCAGGCCTGGCCAGGAGCTGAGAGCAAGCTCTGACCACAGAGGGGTTAATCCATCTAAATTAATTAATTCGTCCAGGTAAGAGCTGAGAGGATGCTGTCCCTTTAGATGAGAGAGATGGTGTCTACTTTGTCATAGTCTCTGCCACTCCCTATTGACCCTACCTGACAATCTCCCTCCTACACATCACCTGCCTGGCTCCTATAAGCATTTCAGTTCTGTAGGGAGTTGGCTTATAGGAGAAGTAAGAGAAGAGGTTAACTACTAGAGAAATGTGAAGATTGACTAGGAGCTGCAAGTTATCGCCTAGGTTAATGCAGGTTAAGAGCACATCAGATGACAGGCATCCTGGAGGTTAGCTTAAAAGTCATGAAGAAACCAATTTGGAATTTTTCTCAGAGAGACCAAGAGGGAAGGGTGTGGTAGAGACACCTACTATGTGCCAGTCTCTTCCTCAGCCCTTTTCTCACTAACTCATTGATCTTACGCAGAAGGTAAGATGTATCCCTATGTTACAGATGAGGAAACTGAGGCAAAAGAGGTGACATGAGCTTCCTGAGGTCACCCAGGAAACGAGCAGCAGAATTAGGCTCCAAACCTGGATGATGCCTGGCTCTAAAACCATGCAAGCCTCACCATAGCCATTGTCCTTTCAAGTGGCCCGGGAAGGGCATTGGACAAAACGGGCTCTATGGGGCGGAGGAGGAGTGCAGACACCTCACTGGGGCCTCGGAGGTTGCCAGGGCCTGGGGAGGGACTGGGGAGCAGGAGCAGGAGAGGATACAGAGCACCCAGGTGCTACCTGAGGTGGCTGGGAGGACAAAGGTCATGGTCACACTGTTCTGTGGTGGGGTGGGCAGGATGCCTTCTTCTTGGACTTCTCAGGAAGCAGAATGTTTATCCTTTAGAATAGGCTGCTGGCCTCTTTGGTTCCTTGGGTTTCTGAGTTTTCAACCAGGGCCCTGGGTCTTTGCTAAGGGCCTGGCCTGTGGTCCAGCAGCCCCTCTTACTACCTTGATTCCTTCACCCTCTTGGGGCCATGTTCATGCTACTTCCTCCTCTTGAAAGCTGCTACTTCCCCTTAAGAGAGGTCAGCTCTGGGTTACATTGTCTCAGAGCCCAGTGGTCTCCTTATCAGTCTCAGAATGAACGTGTAACTCCCCGGATCCAAGTCGGCTTCCTCACAGGTGGGAAGATTCATGAGACTGAGACTCCAGATGCCCAATTTACAGCTGAATCCGGCCCCTGGCATGTTGCCTGACACACCAGGCCGGCCACTAGCAAGTGCCAGAGGGATTGACAGAAGGAGCAGGGCCCTAACTGACTGCCTTCTTCTCCCTGCAGGTCATCCCCTTCTCTAAGGCCACACCAGGGGGCCTCCAGTATGGACATCAGATCATTGTCAAAGGGATGTTTCTTCCGTCCTGTGGAAGCAGGTACCTGGAAGTGTTGTTTCTCTCCAGCCTTGACCCTTAGCAAAATGTCAACTGTCTGCTCAGGGTGGTTCACCTGACACTCTCCAAGCCGCCTGTGCCTGGCTCAGGGGATGCTGGATGTGTAGGGCCTGGCCCTGCCAACACTGCATGGAACCCCTGCCCTCTGCCAGTAGAATGTGGACACCATGAACATAGATTCCCCATAGACACAGGGAGCTCATAGTCTAAGGCCAGCCCCAGGGCAGATCATGGGCTAGGATCGAATTTTGCTTAGGAAGACTCAGAGATGCAAAAATGATGCCTCCTTTATTTCCCATAACGGCCTTCATTCATATTGAAGCCCTCATTTGACTGATGTGGAAATCTTTTTTTATCTCTAAGTTTTTTAGTTTAAAATATTTATTGTTTAAAGTATTTCATATGTCTCCTTTTCCCCCCAATGACCTCTCCCTAGTCGCCCCCAACCCCATGCACATGCCCTCACCACCCTACTGTCTGTGTCCATTGCTTGTGCTTATATGCGCACATACTAGTCCTTTTGTTGATCTCTTAGCCCCTCCCACTTCCTCCCCTGTGTTCCCTTTGAGGTTTGATGGTCTGATCGATGCTTCTATGTCTCTGGATCTATTTTTGTTCATCAATTTATGTTGTTCATTATATTCCACAAATGAGTGAGATCATGTGATATTTATCTTTCTCCGACTGGCTTTTTGCTTAGCATAATGCTCTCTAGGTCCATCCATGCTGTTGCCAATGGTAAGAGTTCTTTCCTTTTTACAGCAGCATAGTATTCCATTGTGTAAATGTACCACCGTTTTCTAATCCACTCATCTGCTGATGGGCACTTAGGCTGTTTCCAAATCTTAGCTATTGTAAATTGTGCTGCTAGGAACATAGAGGTGCATATATCCTTTCTGATTGGTGTTTCTAGTTTCTTGGGATATATTCCTAGAAGTGGGATTACTGGGTCAAATGGGAGTTCCATTTTTAATGTTTTGAGGAAAGTCCATACTGTTTTCCACAGTGGCTGCACCAGTTTGCATTCCCACCAGCAGTGCACAAGGGTTCCTTTTTCTCCACATCCTCATGTGGAGATACATGTCAGACGGGCTTCAGAAATACCAGCACTTGTCCTTTGTTGATTTGTTGATAACCATTCTGACAGGTGTGAGATGGTATCTCATTGTCGTTTTGATTTGCATTTTCCTGATGATTAGTGACTTTGAGCATGTTTTCATATGTCTCTTGGCCTTTTGTATGTCCACTTTGGAAAAGTGTCTATTTAGGTCCTTTGCTCATTTTTTGATTGGATTGTTTATCTTCCTTTTGTTATGTTGTATTGCGTTTCCTATAAGTTTTGGAGATTACACCCTTATCGGATATAACATTGGCAAATATGTTCTCCCACGCAGTGGGCGCTCTTGTTGTTTTGTTGATCATTTCTTTTGCAGTACAGAAGCTTTTTATTTTGATGTAGTCCCATTTGTTAGTTAAAAAATTTTTATGTAGAGAGTATCACAGATGTTCCTCTTTTTCCCCCACTATTGCCACCCTCCATCCAGTTCCCACCCCGCCCAAGCCTTCACCTCGCTATTGTTTGTGTCCATAGTTAATGCATATATGCATATCAGGTCTTTGGCTAATCTCTTCCTGATCCTTCTCTGAGATTCATCAGTCTGTTCCATGTTTCCATGTCTCTGATTCTATTTTATTCATCAGTTTATTTTGTTCATTAGATTTCTTGTCATTTATTTAGATTTTTAGATTCAATTTTTGGTGGATGTCTATTGCCATTTCATGTTTCATATTAATTTTTATCTTTTTTTCCTCTTCTTAAAGAATACCCTTCAACATTTCATGTAAAACTGGTTTGTTGGTGATGAATTCCTTTATCTTTTTCTTATCTGTGAAGCTCTTTTTCTGATCTTCAATTCTAAATGATGGCTTTGCTGGGTAAAGTAATCTTGGTTGTATTCAAAATACTTAAATTTGACATCAAATGTAATTTTTCAAAAATATATTTGTATTGATATCAGGGGGAGAAGGGAGAGAAGAGAGAGAGATAGAAACATCAAGGATGAGAGAGAATCATTGATCTGCTACATCCTGCATGCCCCCTATGCAGGACTGAGCCCACAACCCAGGTATGTGCCCTTGACTCCAATCAAAACCATGAGCCTTCAGTCTCCAGGCCAATGCTTTATCCACTAAGCCAAACTCCCTAGAGCTCGAATATAATTTGATCTCTTTCTGTTTCAAGTTCCTTCCAGGAATATACCTAGTCATTTCAAAATACAAAAATCTTCTCAGCACTGTTTCCCACCCAAGAGGGGACTTTGGGGAACAGGGCAGAGATTGTACAACTCCCCAGATGTACAAGAGCCCTGTAATACTCCAGCAGCGCTGGCTGCCCTCTGCTGAGCCCCAGGTGGTGTCGGGTGAGGGGCTCTTGCCTGATTTGGGTGGGGCTCTGCAGGAATTGAATAGAATGTCTATCTAGGGCCACCTCTGGGCGAGGTTCAGAGCCTGGCCCTGTGGGGGATGCAGAAGACACGAAAGCAGGTGAGGGGCTTCCCTGAGTGCTATGCATTAGTTGGGGACACTAGAAGGACCCCAAGACGCAGGCTATGAACCATGCTCCTGCTGAGTTCAGGGAAGGCTTGGAGTAGACAGTGACTCCTCGGATTGGGACTGGTTTTAGGACATGTGCCTGGGAAAGGGCAGAACAAACATGTATTGTGCCCCTTTCATGAGCCTGGCTCCTGGAAGGTTCTTTTGTTCTAATTCCTCACCTTAGAGCCATAGCTATCCCCAAAGGAAGTTAAGAAGGCAAGGGCTTCCTTCTGAGGAAGGAATGAAAATTTACTTTTGTGAGGCTTCTTGAACACCTCATTAGTCATCCCCAATGGAAGGGATTCAGCCCCACCCTGGGTGCATTGACACCAGGTAGTGTGTTTCAGGGTCACCCCAATAACTAACAGGGTGGGAGACACACCAACCTCCGATGAGGGACAGACACACATCCCGGAAGTTCTCCTGCCTGGAGAGCCAATATTCATACCATGCCTCCCCTGCTAGACACCGTCTTTGTAGGTAAAGTCCATCAATGTCACATGTTCTCTCCATTTGTTCTCTTCCTTCCCAACTGAGCAGCCGTGGGCTGGCCTCTAACCAGTGCCCACCGGGCATGAGAGGCTCTTGCTTCTGGGCATGTTCCTGGATTGGCATCTTCATACAAATGTGCAGTCAGTTTCCAAGACCCATGCTTCCTGAGGCTGGAGTCCACATTGTTCTTTACCCAGTTCCTGCTTATTTCTGGAAAGTCACGCTGGAAAGGGCAAAATGCAGTAATTACACAAAACACACTAAGCACAAATTAGGTAAACACAAAGGAAGGCAGCACAGTGGGATGGGTGCCACCTGCCACGCAGGTTGTATGCAAGTTGCCAGGCACACACAGAAGTCAGAGGCCCAGGCCCTCCTGCGCCTACCTTTGTCAATAAACCAGAACACTGTCTGATTTCTGTCTACCTAGCTTTCAGGTGAACTTTCAGACGGGCTTCAGTGACAATGACATTGCCTTCCACTTCAACCCTCGGTTTGAAGAAGGCGGGTATGTGGCCTGTAACACCAGGCAGAAAGGACGCTGGGGGTCGGAGGAGAGGATGATGATCAATCCCTTCCAGATGGGAATTCCTTTTGAGATCAGCTTCCTGGTGGAGAACTCTGGATTCCAGGTGAGCAGGATTCTCCTCCCTCCCTCCTGCTGCCTGTCCCCCTGCCCCATCCTGCCGGGAGAAAGGCCTGCAAATAATTACCCAGGCAATGCCATTATACAGATAAGAGGAGCTTACACACCTTCACCTGCACCTACAGAGCACCTGTTGCTTCTGTTTCTAGGAAATAAGTACTAGGTAAGTCCGCACCTACTCTTTGGTCATGGGTTCTAAGTAACTTCCATCCTCTGATGCAGCCTGTCCGCTCCAGGTCCTTGACAGCATTTGTTTTCGGTGATGCTGTGGCAGCCCTTCTGCAGGCCCAGGGGTGGCTCAGGGCTGCATGGTGTGGTCATTGCTCCTGCAGGCAGAGCAGTGCTGCTGGGCCCGGGGAGAGGGATGGCTGTGTCTGTGCTTCTCTGTGTGAACGGGATGCTCCCAGGCCTCAGTGTGCACCCTGAGGTGGCCTCTCCTCTGCTCCCATGAGCACTTTAGGCATTTAAATGCGCATATTGAAATGGCATCCCAGGTGAGCTGAGAGAGACAAACCTAGATCAATAATCAAGCAAGAACTGAGAAGCCAAAACTAGAGCCAAGTGGTGACTGGGTTTGGCTGCACTTTGGATCACATGTGTGTTCCTGTACCTTGAGCAGCTCTGAAGGCTGGGCCCCACCTACAGGGGATGGAGGTGAAAACCAGACAGGCCTTAATTTCTAGAAGCCGGGGTCCTAGTGCTCAGGTGTGCTCCCCGCCCTGGTCTGGGACCCTCTCCTGAAATATGTACTCCTGTTGACAGGTGATGGTGAATGGAAACTTCTTTATGAACTACGTACACCGCGTGCCCTTCCACCGCGTGGACACCATCTCCTTCACTGGTGGTTTGGAGGTGACACAGATCCGCATTGAGGTTAGATTGTCCATCTGGCACTTGTCCCACCGTCTTGGTGCAGGAGCAAGTCTAGCTATGCCTAGGCCTGTTGGGTGGGTCCAAATGTTCCAGCCAATCTCTCACTCAGGTGACTCTAGGGACACACCTTTGCTCCCCCATCCCGCTCTTCTTGTGTCACTGTCTCTGTCTAGAGCACCTGCCTCAGCCTGACTCCCTCCCCTCTTGCCTGTCCCTCTCTACTCCCACCCTGGTTAGGAGGCCATGTGGTCCCAGAAAGAACCAGCTTGGGAGTCACACTGAATCTAGCTCAGATCCCAGCTCTGCATTGTCATCCGCTGTGGGATCTCAGGCAAGTGAGTCTGCCTCTCCCAGCCTCAGTTTCCTCATCTGTGCAAGGGGCATAGTCACAGCCTCCCCAGGAGGTATGTGTGGGCTCAATGAGGCGATACGTGTCAGAGGTCACGAAATGGCCCCCATGGGCCCACACCAGGGTCTATTCGACCCTCTCTGTGTTTTCCAACTTTTGAATGTGTTGCCAACATCTACAAGGTCAGGAGCAGGTTTGCATTGTGGAGCTGATGCTGGTGATGGCTGCACAACAGTGTGAAGGCACTGAATGCCCCTCCACTGTACTCATGAAAATGGTGAAGGTGGTAAATTTTATGTGTATTTTACCTAGAATTTTCCAGGTCAGGTAATATCACATGGAAACCTGAATGTCTGGCTTTTTGTGAAAACTGGGAAGATTGGGGTATGCCTGGCCCACATTCCCACAGGACCCCAGGCCCTGGAGTGGAGATGTTATTTCCACTTTGTTATTTGAGTGTGCTCCTGAGATTAGAAAAGCACATAGTAGGCCCACAGCAAATATGAGCTCCTCTCTCTTTGTTCCCATCTCTCATTTTACTCTCTCCCTCTCACCTACTCTGTCCCTGCCTGCCTGTCTTCCTCCCTCTTGTCCAGGCCCCTGCCTTTCCACTCTTCCATGACTCATTAAAGCTTCTCTTCACTCCATGTCACCTTTTGTTTTAACAGGACACCCGTGCAGTCTCTGTCCGGAGGAAGATCTCTGAGGTGCAATCCAACCCCAGTCCCTGTGACTCACCTGAGTCCAAAGAGCAGAAACCAGAAGTGAGTTGAACATGGACACCTGGGAGCTGAGCAGCCAGCAGGAAGGACAGGGGTCTGAGAGAGGCTACTTCCAGCCAGCAGGCAACCAGGGCGTCTAAGCCCCATCATGCTCACCCAAGGTTCCCTATCTCCATCCACCAGGCACCCAGGCCTGAGACCTGGGAGGCATCCTTGGTCCTTCCCTCCCTTCCTTAATGTCCCTCCAGGGCACCAACGCCTCTCCTTCCTGAAGCCACTGCCATGGTCCAGGCCGCCCTCCCCTAACCCCTAACCACCCTCACACCTACCCACTACCACAGTAACAGTCATATAAGCGAATCTTATCTCATCCTCCTCATGCTTAAATCTCTTAAAGGCCCCAGGCTCAAATAAAGCTCCAACTCCCAAGCTGGATGTGCAGAATCACCCCAGTCTTTCCCAGCCCACCTCCCGGCCTCCCACCTCACCCACGAAAACCCTCAGTCAGCTCCACTGCTGAATCCAGGCTCCTTTTGGCCATAATGCTTTTGCATCTGCTGTCCTGTTGCAAAAAGTATCCTTTGCCACCTCACCCAGCCAGCCCCTAACCGCCCTTCAATGCCCGGCTTCAATGTGGCTCCTCAGGGGCATCTTCCCTGCCTGGCAGGTTGCTGGATGCCCCACCCCCTCCCTGACCTGCTGCACTATTAACAACTCTGTGCACGCCAGGCACCATGTCCAGTTGTAACTGTCCTTACATGTCTGTCTCTGTCACTCCACTCCCTCTTTCCCACAATCCATTAGCTTGGAATAGTGACTTGTCCTTTTCTATATCCCCAGCACTTTGCAGGGAATAGAACAGAGGCCAAACCCAAACTGGGAGCCGGATTTTGCCAGTCCCCACTTAGCCCCTGACTGAGTGCTTTCCTGGTTCCCCCTGAGAGAAGGAAACATGGCTCAGTCCCTTCAGCAGCCTTCCCGGGGAACATGTGTGTCCTTCAGTCACCGTCATGCCCTTGACCCTTAGCCCCACCTCACGGGCTTTGTCATCCAGGTGCCCAATCATTATTGCCCAAAATCTCATGAACATGAAGGCCCCAGAACAAAATTCAGAGACAGTAAGGCTGGCTGTGCTCAGGCCTCCACTAAAGAGCCGGCACTAAGATGAGAAATGCACTCAGAGGCCCACAGCAAATATGAGCTCCTCTCTCTTTGGCCCTCATCTCTATTATTTTCTCCCTCTTGCCTACTCTGTCTGTCCCTGCCTGGCTGGCTTCCTCCTTCTTGTCCGGGCCCCTGCCTTTCCATTCTTCCTTGGCTCATTAAAGCTTCTCTTCACCCCATAGCACCTTTTGTTTTAACAGGACACTGGTGATGTCCTTGTGGTGCAAAATGGTCAGACAGCTTGTGACCTACTGGAGCACAAGGAGCAGAAAGCAAAAATGAGTTAAACATGGAGAACCTGGGAGGCTGAGCAGTCAGCAGGAAGGACAGGGGTCTGAGAGAGAGGCTAGTTGCAGCGAGCAGGCAGTGATGACCTATAGGCCCCTGCATGCCCACCCAAGGTTCCCTATCTCCATCCACCAGGCACCCAGGTGCCACAACCTTTTCAGCGAGGATTCAGGATCTGGTGAAGGGGCTGCACATAAATGGATAGACTAGACAAGAAATATAAATTTAGAATGCATGGTGGAACGAGGCGAAAACCTACTCTCTAGTGGAGTGGCTCCCTGAATCTCCAGACCCAAAGCTTTTTACTAGAATATACTCTTTACCAATTTACCCTTAGCAAAGCAAACAGACAGCAATGGTAAGGTTTGATAAACAATAAAAGGATTATGTGCTTAGAGGATTGCCTTCAGCCATTCAGCCAACAGCAGGTAATAATATGCTGATTCTCAGCCTTTGCTGAATATCAAAGTCCATCAGCCTTCTGATGGACTTCTGGCATTTATATGTTAACTACTTTTTGCTCTTTGCCTCCAGCACCCAGGCCCTTGATCTGGGAGGCATCCTTCATTCTTCCCTCCCTTCCTATTATGCCTCCAGGGCACCAACGCCTCTCCTTCCTGAAGCCACTGGATTAGACCACCTGACTCCTCACTCTTCATCCCCTCAAACCGACCCACTGCCACAGTGACCTTTCCAAAAGAAAATCTAATGGCATCTACTCCCTCCTTATAAACCCTAAAGGGCCAGGACTCAATAGAGCTCCAGTCCCCCAGCTGGAGGAGCAGATTCCTCCCTAGTCTTGTCTAACCCACCTGCCGGCCTCTCACCTCACCCACCAAGACCCTCCATCAGCCTCCACTGCTCACTCCAGGCTCCTTGTGGCCACGACACTTGCATCTGCTGTCCTAGGCCGAAAGGACCCTTTGCCATATTACCTCAGCCCTTCAATGCTCTGTTTCAATGTGGCTCCCTGCCTGGCAGGATGCTGGATGCCTCACCGCCTCCCTGTCTCAATGGACACTTCACAACTCTATGTACACCATTTCCTATTGTAACTGTATTTACATGTCAGTCTCCCTCACTCCACCTGTCCTTGCCTAAACCCATGAGCTTGTAATTCTGACTTGTCCCTTTGTGTATCCCCAGCACTTTGCACTGTGCCTGGATCAGTAGGGACTGGGTCAATGAATGAGGGATGTGGTTTGCACAGTCAGTAGAAGAGGAGACCAGTCAGGGCAAGAAGACCAGTCTGCTGGGTGGGGAGGGGCCTCAGGCAGGAAAAGGAGCAGGGCCTGGCCCTTCTTTGGCCACTTGAGCAGTGGGAGCAAGGGCAAGGGTGTCTCTCTACCCAGCTTCCTGTGGCCCATCACGGTGCACGGTGGGCCCCTGCCACCTGCCACACTGACTTTAGGATGGAGGAGCTCCAAGGAGCCTTTGCAGGGCAGCCCGACTTCGGCCCTGGCCTTGGGAGGACGGGGTATGCTGATACAACCAGACACAACAGGGTACCACTTTGTATTTGATCGCTTGCTACCGGGACAGGCTTGGGCAAGGTGCTTAACCTCTCTGAGCCTGTGCTCTCACTTAGCAAAACTGAAGTTGACCTTGGTGCAGACACAGGCAGGATTCCTGCCCTGGGACCTCGGGCTGGAGCATGCTGATGTCTGCATCTGAACTTCAACTCTGCCTTCCCTGTCCCTGCCCCAGTCCCTGCCCTCCCAGCCCTTCCTGGATGTGGGGCTTTTCTAGAGAAACCAGGCCCTTGGCCCTGCTTCTGTCTGCAGCCATCCTGGAGTGGAGAAGGCCGCTGGCTCACATAGCTCCCTCTGTCTGGGCAGCACCTTGGGGCTCCAGCTGCCCAAATCCTACCATCTGAGGAGAGGGGGGGGGACTGGGGGGAGACAGCGGGAGGCGGGTGGTGGGTTGCGGGTCAGTGCAGGCTGAAGCCCATGTTCAGTCCCCTCAGCAGAAAGGGAGCATCCTGGGCCTTCCCAACTCCCACCCGGGCACACCCCTCATCTACCTCTTGACCCCATCCCCATCCTCCATTCAATTCCACCTCAGGCTCCAGCCACCAGCTGGTCACTCCCCTGGGAGGTGGTCTCCTCAGCCCCTCCTCTTTCTCCAACCTTTACCCTTTTTTTTCAACCTGTACCAGTCCTTCCCCCACTCCAGGAACGTGACCGATTGACACCTGCTGGTCTCTACCCTCTGAGCTTTTGCAGCTGGACGCCCCCCTTTCCCAGTGCCCTTCAAATAAAGAGAGAAAGAAAACTCGGGGCTGGCACATATGCACAGCGTGGTTGTGGTTTATTCAATGTGTTTGGAGACATGCTGGTGTCTGGGATCAGGGCGTCCTGGCCAAGGAGAGAGCATAGAGTCACTTTGATGGGACGGGGGTGCAGATCCATTTCTGCCTTCAGTGGGTCCCCAAAATCCCACAAGGTGTGGGAGAAAGCAGCCGTCCTCAGGCTTTATGGACAGGATCTCTGACAGGAAACCTGATAACAGAGGTGAACCAGGAAACAGCCCCAAGCTCCTGAGGTGGGCCAAGGGGCTGGGCCAGAGCCTGGAGAGCCAGAGCCTGGAGGGCCAGGACAGGGCCAGGAAGGCTGATGGCAGGGCCGGCTCATCAGAGCCCCGTGTCCCAGTGGGAGGAGGTGGCAGCTGGAGTCAGGAGGAGCTGATGCAGGTGAAAGACTTGTGTGTTGTTCCACTGTGGGCCCGGCACCAGGGGTTAGTGTGGTGGGAACGTGGCTCAGTGTGTGGGGTCCTGCCAGCCCCTGGGCCAGTGCCGAGGGACCCAGGTCTGTGCCCACGTCCTGCTAATCTCATGAAGAATCCAGGGTGCTGGCTCCAAGTGTAGTCCTGGAAGCAGCAGTATCTACAGCACCTGGGAGCTGTTACAGTGCAGACGCTGGGGCCAGCCACAGACCTGAATCAGGGTCTCCACTAGAAGGAGATCCCAGGAGGTTGCCTATACGAAAGCATGAGAGTCACCGGTCCAGGTGACCGTGTTCTTGACCACCTGAGGGACCCTGTAGGTTGGCATGTCCCCTTCTCCCGCCCCCATCACCCCATCTGAGTGGGGAGGCCAGGGAGCCAATGAGTCAGAGAACAAACCCAAGCTGGGAGCCAGATTTTGCCAGTCCCCACTGAGCCCTGGCTGAGTGCCTTCCTGGTTCCCCCTGAGAGCAGGAAACATGGCTCAGTCCCTTCAGCAGCCTTCCCTGGGGAACATGTGTGCCCTTCACTCACCGCCATGCCCGTGACCCTTAGCCCCACCTCACGGGCTTTGTCATCCCGGTGCCCAATTGTTATTGCCCCAACTCTCATGAAGCTGGAGGCCCCAGAGCAAAACACAGAGACTGTAAGACAGGCTGTGCTCAGGCCTCCGATAAAGAGCTGGCATCCCCCCACCCATCGCCCACGGGCGATGCCTCCTGTGTGAGGCCTGTGCTCCCTCCCTCCATCCCGGGTTGTCAGAGGTGCACGTGTGCTGCCCTCTATGCATTTCAGGTCATTCTGGCACATCCCTTCGTGGGTATTTTGGTGTGTTTTTTTGTCCAGGCTGCTGCACCCAACAGTCTCCAAGTCTATATAAGTTAGGGCTGCTCCCCTTATAAAATACAACACACACAATGTGATTAAAATAAAATGCATTTCATATAAATATCTCCATCAGGGAGTCATACATGGAAGGCCTTAACAGCCTCAGGAGCTGACTAGGGTTTGCTTTTTAAATACAAGGGCATAAATAACTGTACATGGGGAGAAGGGCCAGGTTAAACACAGAGTGGCCCGTCGTCGCCCCCTGGTGGTCCCTCCTAGAGGTGCAATCAGAAGAAGGATCCATCCTCACCCACTGGCCAGGCCTCACATTGCAGATCTCTCTCCAAGGGACCAGGGACAACCCAGTTCCCCATGAGCCGGGGAAGGGTGGGCTCCAAGGAGACAAGAGGTTCCACTCAGTGCAGGCTGCTACTCGGTAGCAAGTCAAGTAAAGGGGAAGGACATGGGGAAATAAGACGGGAGACTTGGGGATATAATTTCCCACCATCTCCCCAGACCCTGTGTCGTCAGATAATGGAGAGTTGGCTCCATCCTGCAATTCTCGGCAGCACCTTTAACTTCTCCTGAGGGCTGTTGGAGCTCTGGGATCGCTAGGCTGTCCCGCTGCCCCATCCTTCTTCATCTTGTAGGGAAACACAGCACTGAAGATGTCTTCATGGTAGCGCTTCTGGCTCTTTAAGGGACAAGGATCACCGGGTCAGTCCTGCTGGTCCAGCCACCTCTTGTTCATCAGGTCCAGGCTAGAATGAGCTCCTGGGGTTCCCCAGCTTCCCCATTACTCCTACACTCATGAGCCATTTCTCTTCCCAATTCTCATGCTTGAACCTCACTTAGAATCGTTAACCTCTCCTCTGCCTGCTCAGGTGGGAACCTCCTAACCATCTTTCCAGGCTTTATGGTGGACAGAATAGCTGGCCTAGTGCTCTTCCCACAGGAAGCTCCCAGAAATGTGGGCTGTGATATATACGTGTTTGTTGAATGCTACATACTTTCTCCACGTTTAGAAGCAGTGTCACTCTGCACAGAAGCATGTTAGAGGCTCTGAAAGTCTTATTGTAAAGCAGCGTGTCAGCCTTTGTTTACTGAGCAACCAGACTGGGCTGCACCGCCAAGCTTCTGGCAGCCCCTCCAGCTCTGACCTCCACCACCTCTAGGATTCCTTAGACGTTCATGACTGTGCTGAGCCTGACTCCCCTGGTCCTGGCTCCCCTGACTCCCTGGCCCAGGCCCCTGACCTGCATCCCTGGCCTGCACCCCGGTTGCATACCTTCAGCTGGAAGAAATAGTCCTCGACCTGCTCCTCACTCAGGCTCAGCCTGGCAGCCACCAGCTGCTTCAGGGTGTGGGCCACATCGCGGGCCATGCGCACGTCCCCGCAGACATAGAGGTGGCCTTGCTCCTGGTGGAGCACGTGGAGCACCTGGTCGGCCAGCTGCTGCTGAAGGATGTCTTGAACGTAGACCTGAAAGCAGAGGAGATGGTGAGCCCAGGCCCCGGCTGCTGGGTGGGGAGGGCAGCCAAGCGTGCAGTCAGGCCTGCTGGCCATCGGGAGGTGGCGAGGGGGTGCCATGGGCTGCAGGCCGAGCACCTCCCTGCTAGAACATTGCACAGGCCTGGGCTGGGCCGAGAGAGATAAATTCTAGCCAAAGCCCTGTCCTGAGGCACTGGTGGTCCAGTGGGGTCTCCTGAACTCTGCATTCACCATGCTACAAAGAGGCATCGATCAAGCCACTTGCCTGCCCAGGGCTCTGAGGCCCACCTGCCTACACCCCAGAAAAGGGATTCTCTCAGTGCAGACTGCCTGAGGGCTCTCCACTGTAATGCAGAGCAGGGCACAGAGTCCTGGGCCTCCCCAGTGACATACAAGTCCAGGAGCCAATCAGGGCTCCCAGTGACCCCAACACTGGGCATGGAAAACTGGCTCTGGGAGGAGCCCTGATGGGACAAGTTCATAAGCGAGGAGCCAAGAGTCTGTCCAACTCCCCAGGCTCAAGGGGTAAAGTGTTTCCTGGGCCTGTGATGGGTGCAGTGGCCGCCCTCCAGCCTTGCTGTGGTTGTGCATAAATCGGCCTGGACCACCTCTCCCCAGGCAAGTGAGTTTCGGTGGGAGGATCTCAGCAGGCTGTGCCCGGGGATTAAGCCACCATGTGGCCCTGACTTAGTCCTAAAGGTCTCAGGGCCTGTCTCTTCTCCTGGAAGAGTGAATGGAAGAGCTTCCCAGCATCGCTCTGACAGTAACTGCCTACATTCTAGAGCTGAGATTACGGCTCAGAGATGTGAGGGGCATGGGTGTGGGGAGCCAGGGCACCCACCATAGTCTGTGCTTTTAATGCTCCTCCCACTGCTCGGGCAGTTGCCCCATTACCTTGGGCTGGCCAGGCAGGCGAGAATAGGCTGTGTGCACCTCATGCAGCACCCCCTTCCGGGCCATCTCCAACATCTCCTCCTGGTAAAGATGGTCCTCATCTGGGCGCCGGCACCCAAACACCAGGGTCATGTGGCCTCTCTGGAGCCCTGCAAGACCCAGCAGGCTGCAGTTACAAGGGTGGCCACCAGAGGGTGGGCTTCAAAGCCTGGCAAGCTGGCCACCCAACTTGAATTCTCATTTCATTCCTGCAAGTGTCCTATCTAGCACTTTGCCCACCTCACAGATGAGGAAGCTGATGCCTGGGGCATTCATATCACTTGTCCACACAGGCGGAGGCAAACTGGGACGGGGCCAAGCAATGTCTGTGGGCAGTGGCACAACTCTCTTGCAGCTCAGATCTGGCCACCTGGTGCCCCCCATTCCAACACTCAGAACCCCCCAGCTGTACCTTTGTGCTCAGTGTCATGGAGTCGCTGCTTCCAGAAACTGCGGAAGGGGGCGATGCCCGTGCCGGGCCCAATGAGGATGCAAGGACGGGAGGGGTCCTCGGGGAGCTGGAAGCCGCTGGCACTGATGGGGACAGAAAGAGACAGGCCCTAGTCCTCAGACACCATGGGTGGGATGCACATTCAGGACAGAGGCCGGGTAGCTGGGGTGTGTGCTTTGGGCGGTAGTGTTGGGTGGGGGAGGGGCGTGTGGAGAAGACAGTTATCTCAAATTTGATTCCCAAGTCCTGCAGGCAGCTTCATTTCCTCTGGCCTGAGCCACCATCACCTTGCCCTGGGTCCTTTTTAAAGAGGCTGAGCCTCGCTGTCCTCTGGGCTTCATCACCACTGTCATCTCCATCCCTGCTAGAGTCTTGGCCATGTTCTCTAGCCAGGAGGTAGGGGGAGAGGCCCCGGGTGACCCCTAAGCCTTCTTTATGGGCCAAGGGGTCCAGAGTGGCACCTACACCCAGGTCCCTCCCTTTCAACCCCAAACTCCCAGAACCAGTGGTCCCACCGCATACAGAATGGAGGGGGTACTTACCTTCTTACAAAACAGGGCACTGGGTCTTGGGGTTTCAGGCTGCTGAGCCATGTGCTGCAGACACCGTGGTGCAGGGGACCCTGGCCATCTGCAAGGACAGCATAGACATGACCAACATAGCCCCGCCCCCAACCCCCGGTGTGTGAACTGCCCCAGTGGCTCCTGGAACTCCGTGGGCTTTAATATGGGAGCTGTTTTTCTCCTGGTTCTGAGGCCCGCCCTTCATATACTCAGAGCTGGTGAACGTGGAACGGGACGTAGAGAGCAGGCAAGCCTCTCCTTTGGCCACTGCAGAAAGTGAGTCTCAGAGGGACAGTGACTTGTACAAGGCCACTCAGGTAGCAGCAGGAGCAGGCCGCAGCTCAGCTTCCCTGACCCCTGCTCCAATGCTCCTTCTAAGAGTTTCTCCAGGGACCCTCCCAGCCACCACTCGGCTCCAATGACAATTGCTCAAAGGGGCCCTTGGGGATGTCTACAGTCACTGCCCCAGAGTGTCTTCCCCAATACAGTCCTGACTGGCAGGAAGCCTGGGTGATGGACAATCTCCTGAGCATTCCGGTCGGTTCTGACATGTGTGTGTGGCCCCTCCTTGACTTGTGGAAGCCCCAGCTTTTGCCGGAGTACATTCCTTTCCCAATGGCCCAGAATATAAGGGACCTCCAACCAACTTGAGAAGTCCCTTTGGTTTTCCTCTGGATGGAATCTTGCTCTCATGGAACGTGCCTGCCTCTCCCCTCCTGGGCTGAGGACTGAGCCGGGGCCTGTGCGACATTGTCTAGCACAGCAAATGGTCTCTGCCCGGAGATCAGAACTGTGTGACTGCGCTGCTCAGAGCACAGAGGGCTCAGAGGTGTGTGCTGGCTCCCCTGCATTGGTGCCCCAGGCAATGCTCTGTTACCAAGGGCAAGGCACGGGCACAGTCCATCCAGGGGGGAGCCAAGCCCACTGGACAAGGTTTTGGACCTTCAAGTCTGTGTCAGTCCATCCCCCATCCCCTGCCCTCATAGCACCCTTCTTGGCACCTTCACAATGACAACTGTCTATTCCTGTGGGTCTCTCTCCATTGCGCCCTCTCAATGGGAAGCTCCATGAGGGCAGAGGCTCCGTGTGCACTATTTCCACACTGACCAAGGTGCCAAGGGTAGAGAAGTATGGGACAAATCACTGCTGAATGAGTGTGTGAAGGGATGAACAATCAAGGCAGAGTCTGCCCTGTATTCAGGCTGGACTATCAGGAAAACTGAGAGTCATCGGGCTCCCACTAAGTATTGGGTGACTCCCACCTTTGAGCTCATTAAGTTGCCCCAATAGAAGCAGGACCGCAAAGCGGAGTAGGGTGGCTAAGAATTTGGTCCCTTCAGACGACCTGGGTGTGAATCTCAGTTCTCTGCTTGCTAATGGTGTGACTTTGAACAAGTGGCCTCAGTTTCCTCACCTGTAAAAAGCACACAGTAGCCATCTCACACGACTACTGATGAGACGCATACAAAGGGGCGAGCTCAGTGCCTGGTTCAGAGTAATCTCTGCCACACACCTCCAACTGCTGTAACAGCTCTGCAGGTGGGTGTTTCACCGACGAGACCAAAGCTCAGACACGTTGAACATCTGCCCAGGAAATAGCAGAGTGGGACTGCACCAAAGCCTCTGCCCCGGCCTTACCTCGGGTGCGGTAGGTGAGCACGGCCACGGTGAGGTGGACCTCCGTGGGGGTGCGGTCCCTGGAGGAGCTGATGGAGTAGTACCGGGGTTTCAGGACAGGGAGCTGGGAGAGCAGGAAGCTGGCAGATACCCGCAGGGACGGGAACTCCTCCAGCACCTCCAGGAATGTGGGACTGTTGGTGAACTTCCACTTGTTGTACTCTGAGGGCTGGAAGGTAAGGGCAATGTGAGCACCTGCCCCACTCCGAGGGAAAAGGCCGTCACAGTCCAGGTTTCATTCGTACGTTTGTTCATTCGTTCATTCATTCATTCATTCATTCTAATTCATTCCCTCCTTCAACAAAGACTTAAAAGCACCAGGCGCTGTCCGGGGTGCTGAGACTACCAAGCTGGAGAGACTCTATTTCCTGTCCTGAAAGAATACAGGCCAGTGAGTAGCATTGATCTCACTTTTGTGCTGAGAACTTCACTGTCAGCAACTTGTGGGCAAGAGCCAAATCTTTATTAGAATCTCATTTGGAACCATACAGACCTGGGTTCAGATCTTGACTGGATGCTTGTCTTAGAGCTGTAGGATCCTGTCCCAATTGCTTAACCTCTGTGAAATGAGGAGGGCATCACCTACTTTCTTGTATTAAGTGAGAAAATGTGAGCCAAGTTACAGCAGCACAGCCTCGGGATAATGGCAGTGGAGGTGTCTGGAATCACGATAATTAGCAATAATGATGATGTAATAATGACATCCAGTGCTTTTTGCAAAGACTTGGGCCTAGAAAGTTGCCGGTGGGTTAATGCATTTTCTTATTAATTTCTTAATTCAACCACCCATCTGTCACTATGCCCATTTATCCATTCAGCTACACCATCCATCCTCCAACATTTTCTACGTCCCAGGCTTGTCTCAGGCTCGTCCAAGATTTGGAAATACAAAGACAAGAGACAGTGGCTCACTTTTCCTTAGATAATTTCTGAGGACATGCACTTTGGTTGCATCCTGCAGACACTCAGAAAGATCCAGCTTACTCAACACAATTGTACCTAGAAGTGGGATGGGACAGGAAGCCTGACTTCCCACCTGACTTTGACAAGTCTCGCTTTGGACAGCTGGGTGGATCCCACTTGGAGGTGAAAGGCCAGCGCTGAGCTCTGGCTTCCCCCAACTCCAGGCCCCTGCCACTGCCTCACCAGCAGCCCTGAACTTCACCTGGCACAAGGTCTCTAGCCTCTGCCTCTCCGGTTCTTCTGTGGCCAGCCGAGCCAGCTTTCGGAGCAGCAGCTGGGTTGGGGGCGTGGTGATGTCCAGGAAGTAGGTGAGGGCCTGGCTGAGGGAGCAGGGGGGCAGCCGCTTGTCCCTGACCCAGTAGCTGCCTAGAAAACAGTCAGGATGGAAAAGGCCCCATTTAGGTTTCCCAGAGGGTGATGAGGCTCTGGGGCAGACCCCCTCCTCCCTCCAGCTGCAGGGGAGAGAAGACACTGAAGTTCTGGCTCCAGGAACAGCAACAGGGCTCATGTGCCCAATTCATGTGCAGAAAGATGGACTCAGATATATAGGTGCAGGGAAGGCTGACCAACAGCCCTCCGAAGGGCACCAATGGTGACTCAATCCTATAAACTAACTATGCACCAGAGTCCAGTCCCTCTCACCCAGGCCTGATACCCACAGGTGGATTACAGGCTCACAGTGACTAAGTCCACCAAAGACTGATGTACGCCCAGAGGCCACTTATTCATTTAGAGAAAAGCCCAGGACTGCAGTCCCCTGGGGTCCTATACTGGGAGGTGCTAGGAGAGCCGCCAATCACCCTGAGTGAGGTGATGAGTCTCAAGGAGTCCTGAGGGGCTCTATATGGGGGGGTCACAGCATGGATGCTGGGGCCAGTAGATGTGGGTTCAGACTCTGGCTCCCCACTTACTAGCTGGGTGACCTAACTCTCTGAGCCTTGGATTCCGCCTCTGTGAAGTGGATGTAATCACACAACTTGTCTTGCTGGGTTTGTATGAGCATTGAATGAAATAGTGCAGTGTGATAGCTGGTACAGCGTCTGGGACATAGGTGCTCAATAAATGTTAGGTAAAAATATTAGTATTACATTGTTTCATCTAGACCCAAGGCCCGATGAACCGCATCTGTCTTCCTACAGTCACAAGGACATCTCTGTCCCCTCATCCCCGAGTGTCGGGCTGTCCCACATTCTCCAGGACATTGGGGTCCAATGCCAGACTTTGCTCCTCTGACCCCGGCTTTCTGACTTTGGCCACTCTCTTTAGGGGGACACATTCCTGACGGTGTCATTGTCACTGAGGAAGCGAAGGCCAGGGAGCTAGTCCTATGGCTGGGAGGCCCAAGGTGGTAGATTTCACTCGTTTACCTCTCCTCCTGCCTGTCACCCTGCGCTGTGCTCTCCACATGGATGGAGAGCCTCCCCTTCGCACAGGAAGGGGGTGCCCTGGGGCCTCCCAGGGGCAGTGTCCTCTCCCCGGTGAGGGTGGCCAGGAGGAGCCACACCCTCCATGAGCCCTGCTCACTGCCTGGGAGGGTGGGAATAAACCAGACCCTTGGTGGGGCCGCAGTATGACATTAGAATGCCATGAAAATGTGAAGAGGTTATATATTTGGGGATCTGAGGAGGCTCCTGTGGTGTATTCTCTGACTTCTGGTCAGATGTTCATTAGCCTGTGGGGAAATGAACCTCCCTCCATTCCTGCGTTTATGTGGTGCCAGGAATTGTGGTGAAGGTTGCATTTGTAGCCACTCATTTGTTCTTCACAACAAGCCTACAAGGAAAGCTCTTAGCATCTCTATTTTAGAGAAAAGAAATAAAGCCTAGAGCAATTAATCCATATGCCCAAGGTCACATTGCTGGACCAGGGACTTGAACCTTCAAACCTCACCATTTTTACAGTTTCCACATTTCTCTCTTATGTCACCACGCGAGCTGCACATATATGCCTTTGGTGGGAATTAAAGAGGCAGTGCAGGTAAAATGCTGGCATATAGTAATTACCCAACAAGTGCTAGCTGCTACTGCCACTGTTATAATAATTATGATGAATAACATTCTTGCATATCTGCCTCCTGTACTAGGTGGTGAGCTCTCTGAGGGCAGACACCAAGTCTCATTCATTTATTTGCCCAGGGCCGGTCTGTTATACAGACGAGACCAGTTAAAATTTCCATGGAAAAATAAATGAACCAGTCAATCATTTAAAAAGTGGCCAGTTAAGCAAAAGAATGAAGGGAAAAGGCTTTCTTGTCTCTGATGTTTGGCAGATGGTCCCAAAGAAGCGCCCCTTTTGCTGGCCTGCCACCTGGCTGAGAACTGTTTGTAAGGTGCAGACTTGGGCGTGGCGCTCCCCCTCCCCCCACCCCAAGCAGGAAGGGGAGGGTTAGCTGCCTACAGTGCAGGCCCAGGCCCAGCCCATCAGCTGTTTGGGGGGTCGGTGGGAGGATGTTGGGGCCACCTCAGCAGAGGGTCCGTGTAGAGGACTCACCGGTCTCGCTGAGGGTCTCCAGGCACACAGGTTGGTGGGGTGCGGGGCCGTCCACCACTCGCTCCAAAATGCCTTGAACCAGGGCTGGCTGGTTGCTTGGGAAAACCCCCAGGTGCTCTCCAGGATGGTAGCTGAGGCCTGGCCTGCCCTCGCAGGAGAGTTCCACCAGGAGCGTGGTGCGGCTGGAAATGGGGAGGAGAAGCCGCTGGTAACCCACCAGGACTTCCTCCCGAGCGCCCGGCAGGTGGGCCACTTTTCTCCGGAAATACGCCCTCCTTTCATTTTCCTGCCTGGTTCCATGAGCACGGTCACCAGCACCCTTCCCCCTCCCCCTGCCCCATGGCTAGGGCACCCAGAGGGACCTGAGGCTGGGCAGACTTGAGGCTTCTCCGTGGGGAGAGGATGGGCTGCACCCCTCCCTGTGCAGTCCTCCCAAGCCCACGAGGGCTTGACCACAGACTCTGCCTAACGAAAGCATCCCTCCGGGAGAGATGGAGGCAAATCCGGTTCTTGCTAGAACAAAGCCCAGTTTTGCTAATGAATGGGGAGGACAGCACAGAGAAACAAAACCTACAGAGAATCCACAGCACGGGCCTACCCTGGCGGGAAAGTCCTTCCCTGCTAGACTTTTCCTGAAAGTTCTTAAGGGAGAGCCAAATGGCCCTAGCTGGTTTGGCTCAGTGGATAGAGCATCGGCCTGTGGACTGAAGGGTCCCGGGTTCGATTATGGTCAAGGGCACATGCCTGGGTTTCGGCTTGATCCCCAGTAGGGGGCATGCAGGAGGCAGCCAATCGATGATTCTCTCTCATCATTGATGTTTCTATCTCTCTCTCCCTCTCCCTTTCTCTCTGAAATCAATAAATATATATATATTTTTTAAAAAGAGCCAAATGGTTGAATTTCTCTTGCCCCCCTTTTTGGTGAGAGAGTTAAGTGGCAAAGGGCAGGAAGTGAGGCAGGCCCCCAGTTGGGAAACTGGCCCAGGATGAATGGAGACCAGACGTAGAGGTACTGGTGGCCACGGGGTTACCAGTCAAGCCAGCCCTCACTGCTAATGCCAGTGGACACAGCGCTCTTCTCAAAGACTGACTTGCCCTGCACTTCCTTTCATTAAAATGAAACCCGTGGACCATCACCCAGAGCCCTGTGCTCTACCCTACCTGGATTTTGGGCTCTGTAGATTCTGCTGCAATTTGAGCTTCATGGTGAACACATTCTTGGCGTGCATTCCGCTGAGGGCTGTGGGGACAGAGAGGTGGTGAGATGGCCAATGGTTCCCAATCACCTGTGGGGCAGCCGCCGTGTGCCCGAGTCAATGCCATCCGGACACTGCCCTCGGGAGGTCCTGCTGAGGGCGTGGGAGGGTTTTCTTTCCTTTTCCCCACCGTGTCTCTGAGTCATAAATGAGGACCTTTGGTCTGACCCAGGGTGGTTGTGCTGTTGGTGGGTGTTGAGAAATGCAACTCAGATGCCCAAATATGGGGATTCCAAGGACATCCTGGACCCGCAGGAGAGCATCGTGGAAGCCGGGGATCTCCTAAACAAGCAGAAATCTGCAGGACCATCAGACGCATGGGACAACAAAAGGGGGAGCTCGAAGGCATGGCATCTGGGGGCACCACTGAGAGTTCACAGGCTGCAGAATGTTCTGGAATTGCCTCTGCAGAATGTTCTTTTCAATACGTGGCTGCCATCAGAGCTGAAAGGGTAGGGCTCAGATCTCAACTTGACCACATGCTGGCGACTCACATCGCCTCCCTGAAGTTCTTTTTCTGTGCCTGTCTTGCAGGATGAGTGTCAGGGCTCGCTTAGAGTGGGTGGGCAAAGAGCCCAGCACAGTGCCTGGCACACAGGAGGCCCTCAGTTGGTGTGGCCCCCTTCTCTCTCCACCTCCCTCCCAGGGCTTCCTCCTTAAGTGGCCTCCCTCTGAGATGAAGCAAGGCCTCGATTCTGGCACCCCAACCGGCTCTTGGAGGCAACAAGAGAGAGACGCCTGGCAGCCCTAGGCCAGCTGCCCCTGTTCAGAGGGTCCCGTGCTCAAAGACCCCACCGGGCAGGAAGGGCCAACCAGCCCCGTGTGGTGCAGGGAAGCAGGTACCTTTGTTGAGGTCCAAAGGCTGAGAGTCCCGCACGAGCCGGTAGTGGTGCGGGTCCCAGGTCACATTGGTGGTGTACAGCTTGGGGATCTGAATGCGGTGTTTGCCTCGGACATCGAACGCCTCACAGGCTGCCTGGAAGGAGACAGAGGGGATCCGTGTTCGTGAGCGCCCTCGTCATCAGTGGCACCACCACCACTAGGGAAAGGCTTCGCTTAAGGGAGGAGTTTGCTAAATCAGGAGTCAAACCTCAGGCAACAAAGATCTGAACTGTGTGGTCCCCATCCCCAAGCTCTCTGTCCCCAACAAGACCAGGTTGTCAAGAGGCGCTGGATAGTCAGAGGGGAAGAGATCTTAAACCAAAGCTCCCAGGAGTCAGGGAGGTGTCCTGCTACCTTCTCCTACCCCGGGACACAGGCCTAAAGTGGAGCTCTTCCGGGCGCACCACTGCCCCCTGTCCGTGCTGTGGGGCAGCACCAGCTGTGAACTGACCTTGAAGGTTTGCACGGCCCAGCTGCGGAAGGCCTCTTCCTGCCCACTGAGCTCGTCCCCTTCCCCCGTCGGGGTGAGCTGAGACGCTCCCAGGTGGGACAACTTCTGGTCGACATCATGAGCGAAGGCGCAGAACTGAGGGTACATGCTGGAACCAAGGCCAAACACGGCATACCTGCCCGAGGAGGACACACACACAGAGGTTGGAGTGAGCCAGCCATGCAAGCATCTCCCAGCAGCACCAACAGCCCATAGGCCGGGCGCAGGCACTCCCAGTGCAGCCCGGCACAGGGCCCAATAGTGGATGCCCCCTTCTGGGCTTCCCTAGCGCCAGAAGCTTGTCACCAACTCCATGACCAACCCTAAGTTTGGCCTGCAGACCTGTAAGAGGGGCGTGGATTCCCTGGCTTGAGGACAGGCTCTCTCCAGGCCTGGACCCCCCAGAGAGGACCCTCTAATACACACCCAGTGCCAGACTCTGGGCCCATCAGGCAGGGCTCGGACAAGAGGGAGTGGGAACAGCCTTACCTGAACTTGTTGGTGAGCTCTTTCAGCATGAAGAGGGATTTCTTCAGTTTCTAGAAAGAGAAAGAACCACAAAGTCCTCAGGACAGGATTCATAAAAGCAACTGCTGCTTCTATCTTCTGGTGGCCCATTCAGAACCGGCCACATCTGAGAGAAGGTTCAAGATCCACAAATGCAAGTTGGTTGGTGTGTACCTGGCTGGGGCTCAGGGACAAGTCCAGCCTTAGCCACTCATGTGGCCTTGACCCTCAGTGGGGGGCCCGGAAACAGCCCAGCTCCCACCCCACCCAGCCCTGTAGAGGGTTTCCTGATGGGGGCGTGAGTGAGCCCCGCTTCCTGTTTGGAACCTGGTGAGAGCAACAACTGTTCCTGTATTTTCTAAAATAACCCTGATTTCCCAGGAACTCAAGATAATTTTAGGTGGTACCTGACCTAGCAGATATAGTGTCAGACCTCCTGGTAAGATAGTATTCTCTCCTCTGTAATTTTTTTTTAGTTATTCCCATTTCAACTTTTTGTTGTTGTGGTTCTCTTAAACACTAGGGAGAAAGTCTCACATTGGTAGTAATGGAGCCTTAGCACCTCTCTAATACTTGCCTACTATTTTTTTTTTAACCCTAAGCAAGCCATGGTCAGCTAATAGTATCTAGCTAAAACTCAATAACTCTGTTTGGCTTTCATTGGATTTGTGAGAGTGAGATAGAGTTTCCTTTAAACATGAATTGTTGAATTTGAAAGGTAGGTCAGTTTGCTGAAATCCATTAAGTATGTCGTAGGAAAGGTGACACGTGCATATGGCGATCACTACGAAGGACACAGGCAAATGAGTGATCTGAGCACTCACCCCCAAGTGTCCTCCTCAGGATATGCTGAACCCCCACATCCCTTCCTTGGGCCCTACCACCCCCCAGACCCCTGGGACCTGGGCCACCTACCGCTCCATTGCCGGGGGAGTCTCCGTTCCCAAAGGTGCTGGTCACCACCAGCAGCAGCTGCTCCTCCTCCAGGCTGCTCAGCCTGTACTCGTCCATGCAGAGAACCTGCATGGCACCAAGGGTGGGCATCAGCCCTGGTTCCCAGGCTGGAGCCCTCTGTGCCCTCCCCAGACACCCTGTGCTGTCCCACCCCGACCCAGGCCCTTAGCCCCCTTCGTCACCCAGGCCCCCCGCCTCCCCCCAGCACAGGTGTGGCACAGAGAAGGCGAGTGCCTGACAAATCCGTCAGATGAACCCCCTTGAATACACGGCCTCAATTCTCCCTGCCTCCAGCCCCACCTCCACCACGTCAGCAAGCCCTGGCGGGGGGGGGGGGGGGGGTCTGCCTCCAAACTACTGCCCGGCCCAGATCAAAACACTTCCGCCACTTCTGTGGCTATTTTGGATTCTTAGTGCGTGGACGTATCTTCCACAAAAATGGGGTGAGCAGATTACAAAAATGACAACTCCTCTGGCACCTCCGGAACGCAGACACTTTGCCTGGCGCTAATGTCAGGGGAAGGGTGTCACGGCCTCGCTCCTACCCGGGCCCACCCGCCTCGGGAGGCCAGCAGGGGTGAGGAATGGCGTCCAGCACTGACGGGATGGGTGAGCCACCCTCTGGGGTTTTATTTCTCTGCATTTTATTCACCCTTTGCCTCCTTCACACTCAGCACTGCACCCTGTAGGGAAGGTGTGCAGTGAACGGCAATAAAATTCCTCTAGAGCAGCTCATGGAAACTGCGACTTGGGCTCATTAGGAAAGTGTTTCTCACCCGACCAGTGTGCTCAGTGGTTGGGCATCGACCCATGATCCAGGAGGTCAGGGTTCAATTCCTGGTCAGGGCACATGCCCGGGTTGTGGGCTAGATCCCCAGCGAGGGCATACAGAAGGCAGCTAATCAATGATTCTCTCTCATCGTTGATGTTTCTATCTCTTTCTCCCTTCCTCTCTGAAATAATATATATATATATTTTTTAAGGAAGTGTTTCTCAACCTGCATTCCATGGAACACTCTGAAAAACGTATCAACTGTGTAAGTTTGAGAACCCCTGGACACACCTATCCTCCTATGTGTGATTTACAACGTAGAGCCACACATCCAGGCTCTGAGACATCCTGGAGCAGAGCACTCTGACTTTCCCAGATTTCCCTGAACACAGGCAGGGGAACGGCACACGTCCAGCCGGGTCAGGTACCTTGGGGTTGAAGGCACAGCTGAACAAAGCCCCTAAGTCCTGGGCCAGCGTTTCTGATTTTCCCGTCTCCGTCGCAAAGAGGATGGTGGCTCTGACTCGGGAAGCCATGGTCTTGCGCATCAGCATAGAGGCAAAGAGCACGGCTCTGTGGGGACAGACAGATACTGTGCCGGGTCATCCTTCCAGAGGGAGATGGGGGCCAGGAAGGTAGGAGGGGACAGTGTTTAAAGTGGGCAGATTGAGTTAAAAGAACCCACGTTGCTCACCAGCTATCAACCCTGACTCACCACCTTCTCCTGCCCTCGCCCGCTCTACCTGCTGCTTAGCCCCTTTGGGAAAATGGAGGAGAGAGGAGGTTGGGACAATAGTGACAGGTGACCCTTGGAATTGGTGTGGGGACCTCTGGGAGCCAAACTCCATCAAGATCACTTCTTTGTTCCCTGCCCTTCAAGGCCTAGAGGGCAGGCTAACTGGAGGGAAGATGTCAACACGGGCCACTCCCACTTACTTAACCAGGACTTGAAACCGAATCTCTCTTCTCCGGGGCCTCCGCTTCCCGTCCTGCCAGACGTGGGTTTTCCAGGCCTCCACCTTCAGGAAAGAAGGCAGATGTGAGAGCCAGGCAGGCCCGAGCTCAGCGTGGACTTGGGAATGCTGGTTGAGAGCATCAACCCATGAACCAAGATTTCCCCCATTGGATTCCTATTCAGGGCACATGCCCGGATTGTGGGCTCAATCCCCGGTAGTGGGTATGCAGGAGGCAGCCAATCAATCTCTCTCTCTCTCTCTCTCTCTCTCTCTCTCTCTCTCTCTCTCATCGATGTTTCCATCTCTCTCTCTAAATCAATAAAAATATATTTTTTTAAAAAAAGAATACCTTGCCCTAACCGGTTTGGCTCAGTGGATAGAGCGTCGGCCTGCGGACTCAAGGGTCCCAGGTTAGATTCTGGTCAAGGGCATGTACCTTGGTTGCGGGCACATGCCCAGTAGGAGGTGTGCAGGAGGCAGCTGATCAATGTTTCTCTCTCATCGATGTTTCTAACTCTCTATCCCTCTCTGTAAACAATTAATAAAATATATTTTTTTAAAAAAAGAATACCTTTATAAAATAAATAAAAAGCATTAAGAATGTCTGTGTTCTTGGTCCTTCCCCATATGTCCTGCACGAGCGAGCATGCTCATGCACACATGGATACACACGCATACACATGCATGCACACATGTGCAGACACACACTGTCTCTACCCCTGAGCCCCCAAGACAGAGTGAAGAGGAAAGCCCCCTGTTACCTGGTAGTAGTAGAAAGGGGACAGAACATAGTTTAACATCTCCTGGTGGAACACGGGGGTGATGCTGCCAGAAATGGGGGGCACCAGCCAAATCCAGTCTGCGGGGCAGCCCCCTCGGGACCGGTACTCATTCTGCATGTACTTCATGAAGGACTCTGCAGCTGAGTGGTGGTCCATGATGGTCACATTTTGCTTCTAAATCAGAAGGAGGCAAGAGGGGGAGTTGAGACAAAGGACAGGGGAATCAGGAGAGTGGTCGGTTGACTGCAGGGTTCCCAGGTAAACCCTGGGAGGCCTGGAAATCTGTAAAATGTGACAGCAATTCCTTCTGGTCCCCTCCTCGTGGCTGAAAATAAATATCCAAAGGAAGGCATGCCGAAGGAGCCAGAAAAATCACCATCACCATGGTCAGCCCACAGATCAGATGGTGGCCTCCTATTGGCCCTCTGGAGCAGTGTCTAGCTTCTCCGGCCATGCCCACTGGTCTCCCCAAATTCCCAGCTGATGGCTCTCTCTCTGGATGCTGATAAATCAAACCACAGCGCATTTTTGTTGGGAGAGAATCCCAGGAGTCACTTCCCCACGGATGTGGCTCTCTTGGCCAAGAAGGAACTAGACCCCTCTGAAGAGGATGGAAGCACAGGGAGAACCATAGTGTCTGGAAGACAAGTGACCAACATCCTAAAATTAAAAGCCGCAGGGTCTGAGCTTCCCACACTGACCCAACAAGGGCCACACCCTCAATGCCAGAGGCAACCCACGCAGCCAGGAGACACTTGCTTCATATAGTGGTTCCAACGTTGGCCTCTTGTTGGCCCTGTGACCACAAGTCATTAGTTCCTGAACCTCACTAAGCCTCAGTTGCCTCGTCTGTAAAGTGGGGATGCCAACAGTTCCTCATGAGGTTATCGAAAGGATGCAATACATTATTACAAGTAAAGCACAGAACGTGCTCAGTAAAGTTAGCAGCTGCTATTATTTCTATCTGCCGGGCAGTGCATAAGGCACTGGCATTATAGACATGAAGCGGCCTCGGCAAAGAGGCCCCTTCATGCATCAGATTGCATTCTAATTAGGGGAGGAAGAAGAAAGTCCGCTTTTCACGTGGTCTGACAGCAGCTACGTGGAGGGGTGCAGGTGCTGATGGAGGGCAGAGGAGAGGGCTTAGCTCAGAGGCCTGGAGGAGAGATGGGGCTTCCAGGAACAGCTTATAAGAGGAGGTGAGTCCCGAGAGATGGGTACAAGTTAGGCCAGGGACAGGCATTCCTGGAGGAGGACACAAACATGAGTCAAGGCCAAGAGGAGGAGAGAAGCTCCTAGTAGCTGATGGAGGTCCCAGGAGGCCCCCTCACACCTTCTAACATTTATACATACATATACCATACATACGCAACTCCTGGGTTCCGGATCAGTTTTAAGCTCTGGAATGGATTGTTGTGATAATGACAGTAACAATAATAAATAATAACAACAAAAACATGAGTGCTTGCTAAGTGTTCACCATGGGCCAGGCAGTTCTGCTAAATTGCATCTATTTCATTTAATTCCTACAGTAACCTAGGGAGGGAGGGACAGTTATTATCTCTGTTTTAAAAATTAGGAAACAAGGCCAAGTCTTTGGAAGTTTGCTGTGAAGGAGGGTCAGTGACGAGGAAGTCTTGGAGACTCAAAAGCAGTGATGGGACGGGACCAGCAATGGTCAAGAGCCAGGGAAGGACCAGCAGGTTTTCCGGGACAGATCCCCATCCTGCCAGTGTCAGGGCCGATGCTGGGAGCCCCAGGAGTCAGGATGTGTGGTCCACGGGTGGCCCGTGGGGCCTTCCCAAGCTGGGCCAGCCCCACGGGGCTCTTCCTGTCCTGTCTCAAGGCCACCCCCTCCCTGAATCAAGCACAAGCTTGACCTACCTATGGGGTGACCTGCCCTGGGGAACAGCATGTGATCGTAAGTATTTACTGGGCGATTGTTTAATGTCAGCTCCCCACTACACTTCACAAGGACAAATTTTTTGTCTAGTTTGTTCACCACTCACGTCTGTGGCCCAGCCTAGGGCCTGGCACATGGAAAACGCTCAATAAAACTTTGATGAATGAATGAATGACTCTCTGCCCAGTGGTTTGGCCACCAGGGAACCTGCCAGTTTTGTGGAGATGGTCCCAGCTTCTACAGTAATGTCTTCACACACCCCATGATCCTTCCCAAAGGATGTGTTTATATGCATAAGAGCAGCAGATGGTCCAGTGGGCTCAGTCTCACACAGGAACCAACCTGCTGTGTGTAGGTCCGAGGGGTGGACACTGTCACTCAGAAATAAGAGCACCACTGCTCAGGTGGATGTGGGCTCTCGTTCATTCACTCAACACACTTTTTTTTTTTTACCATGTGCCAGACACTCTCTGGACTCTAGAGGTAGAGCAGTAAACAAGAGACAAGATATCTGCCCTATGGAGCTTACATTCTGGGGTGGGCTGGGGGTGGGAGCAAAACAACAAAGAAAGAAAGAAGTAGATGTAGTATATATTGTCAGGAGCTAATAAGTATTATGAAGAAAAATAAAGAGCGTTAAGGGAAGAAGAGAGAAAGAGGGTGGAGGTGGGGGGAGGGTGCCGTTTTATATGCATGGTCAGGAAGGACTCCTCTGAGGAGGTGACATTGGCACCTCGATGAAGGGAAGGGGCCGGTCGTGGGATGACTTGTGGGAAGAGTGCTCTAGGCAGAGGGAAAAGCAAGTGCAAAGGCCCTGAGGTGGGAACTATATCGGTGAGTCTGAAAAACAGCAAGAATTCTAGTGTGACTGGGAGGTTGGTAGGAGATAGAGGCCCGACGGGAGAGGCTGGGGGAGGCAGAAGTGTAAGGAGGTCCTTCCTTGGTTTTAAAGGGACGCAGAAAACACGGTGGGAGGTGGGGGAGGCATTGGGTTAGCTAGCCACTGATTTCTTTGAGATGAGAACCATTACAGCCCATTGATATTGACAGGAATGACGCAGTGGAGAGGGAGACACTGGTGAGACAGGAGAGAGAAAGGGGAATTTTTCAGGATTAAAGTCCTTGAGAAGTTGAGAGAGGACAGGATTCAGTGCTTAACCGCAGGGGTTGACCAGTCATGGGAGGAAAGCAGCTGCCTGTTGCTAGAAGCATGCAAGCTGTACTAGGAGACCTCGAGTTAGTGGGAGGGCTTCTCTGTCTGTATCCCCAGCACCTAGCACCGTGTGTGGCGCAAGCTGGGTGTTCCATGCTTGTTTGGTGCATAAATAAATGAACGGTGCTGTCATGGGAAGTCAAGCATGGCATGCGAGGCTGGGCCAGGTGACCTTCTCACCAGAAAGGCCCCCAAAACCCCAGTCATACCTGGAAACTGTGGAGCACGGCGACATTGATCTCCACGACAGCCTGGTCCTTCCAGAGTGAGGCCAGCTTGTGCGTTTCCAGGCCCATCCTTCTGCCCACCTCCTGCAAAGGCAGAGAAATGGCGGTGCATCAGTCCCTGGGACCAAACCACAGGCCCACACCTCCCGCTGGCCCAGCTGGACGGCCCTCCTTACCTCCAGGATGTTGTAGCGCTGGACATCACAGAAGTCCCGGACCCCGATCTCTGTGCCCATGTACCAGCCGTTGAAGGGGCACCCTGGGAACTCCAGGCCACCCACCTCGAGCAGCATGTTGGACACGGCAGGCAGGGCGTACCACTTCAGCCCCAGCTCCTGGAACCACTCGTACCTGGCAGGGACACACAGCCATTGGGTACTGGGGCCTTCACTTCTGCCCCCCCTCACCGCACCCCCCAAAAAAGCTTCAGAAAGAGTCAACCAAGAAAGCTCTTGTTCCAAGGGTTGATCTCTAAGTTCATCCCCCCTGGAGGGGTGAAGGGGTACACGCGGTGTCCTTCATTGATTACGCATTCATTCACTCATTCGTTAATTCACCCAGTCATATAGTAAGCATCAAGTATGTGACAGGCCAGTGCCAAATGCTGAGAACCCACATAACATAGTGGTTAAGGATGCTAGAGTCAGAAAGCCTGGTTTCAGGTTCTGCCTTACGGCTTACCAGCTGTGTGAACTTGGGATGTTATTTAGCCACTCTGAGCCTCACTCACCCCACCAACAAAATAGAGGTAATAGCATCAAACTCATGAGATTACTGTGAAGATAGTACTATCGTTCACTTGTATGTTCATTTATTCCAGAAATATTTATAACTGAGCACCTACTATGTGCTGGACACCCTGCTAGGTGTTGAGGATATACTGCTGAACAAGAAAGGCAAGACCCTGCCCTGGCCGGTGGTGCTCAGTGGTTAGAAAACCACCCCCCACACCAAAGGGTCGTGGGCTTGGTCCCTGATCAAGGGCACATACCCAGTCAGGGCACATGTGGGAGACAACCAATCAATGTATCTCTTTCACATCTATATTTCTCTCTCTCTCTTCCTCCCCCTCAAAAAATAAAATAAAATAAAACAATGGAAAATTATCCTCAGGTGAAGATTAACAACAATAAAAAAGGGCAAGTTCCCTATTCTCAAGGAGTTAACAGTCTATAGACTCCAGTCTAGACTATAAACAAGTAAACAAACAAATAAATAGGAAAATAAAAACCAGGTGACATGTTAAACAGAGGGTGGGGGCACTACTCTAGATCAGGAGGGGCTTCTGGGAGGGGGAATACCGCACTGACAAGAAGGAATGTACTCTGAGGAAAGGGCACGGGAACAGCAAGTCCAATGGCCCTGAGGCGGACTGAGTTCCGGATATTCAAGGCGCACACACAGAAAGAGAGCCCAGCCCAATGATGGCGACATAGTGAGTCTCAACATAGGCAGGTATTTTGTGATTGTGAGAGCTGTCTGGAGCAAGGGCTGAACCAGATGAGCTCTTGAAGTCACTGTTACCTATGCTTCCATCACAGTCAGGCGAGGCACCGCTAAGAGAACTGGCAGGAAGGCAACAGAGGCCTGTGCTGCTCAGTGTGAGGATCTCAGAGCCCCACACGGATTCCTCTCCCAAGGTCACTGCTTCCCAAGCTCCTAGGGCCCCATCTGTCCAAGCCTGCGCTTCCCCCTCCTCATCAATACGCCCTCATAAGTCGGAAGCCCCGGACACAGTGCAGAGTCGATGTATGAGGGTGACAAGGGGGGGGGGGGGGGCCTTGAAAGCAAGCCCTGTGGGGCACCTGCTGCTGACTGGGCTTTGGAGGAGATGCAAAGAGAGGCCTGAGGATGGAGGTCTCCCTCAGGAAAGGAGGGGGACCTGCATGTTAACTCACACCCAGCACCCTCGGCCTGCTTACTTGGGATGCTCCATAGGCACCTCGAGCACAAGGTCAGGCGGGATCTCGAAGAGCTCAGGGTCGCGGCCGCCGGCCTGCAGGACCAGAGGCACCACGTCGAAGCGGCCGTACTTGGGTTTCCAGCCCAGGTCGATGCACAGCTGGAGACAAGACAGGCCAGTGAGTCTGCAGACCCAGGCGCCTCGCCCCCTCGAGGCTCCACTGTCACCCTCCAAGGCTGGATCTGGTACCTGGGTGAACTCCACGCAGGCGGGGTCCCCTCGGATGGTGCCATCAGGCATCTGGTAGCCGGCATAGCGGATGAGCTGGGAGTTCCAGACCCGGAAGTCGTGCTTCCCATCGCTCCGCTGCGGGAACACCGTGATGGCCGACCTTCCCCAAGACAAGGACCGTGCTGTTGACCGCCTGGCTCCGGTCGGGGCTCCCAGCCACCCACCTCTGGTCCCCTGCCCCTTCCTGTCTTCCCACTCCCCAGCCCTCTGCACCTGAGCCTACGGAACCCAGCTCCTGCAGCTCCCCAACATGCCCAGCGCTCCCTGCCTCTGTGTAACCTGCCCCGCTTCCTGAAATACCGTCTCCTTCCCTCTTCCATCTTAAAGACCTCCCTCCATCCCCTCCAAATGGTTCCAAGTCTGAAGGAAACCAAGGATACAGGCTATCGAGGGGGGCTAAGCTCGCGGAGGCTCTGCTCATTACTAGGGCTCCCTAAAGAAGCCCGAGTCTACGCACTCTTTCTCCCTGGTTTCTCCTGGAGCCAGAGGCGCCACCCCTAACCCCATTTGTATCTTCTGGCTGAGTCTGGAGGTGGGTGGACCCCAGCCATGGCCTCGGCAAAGGGGCTCCCACCTGATGTTGCCGTTGTTGGTGGAGTAACGCAGGTGTCTGCAGATGTGCTTGAACATTTCCTGGGCAGTGGAACAGCTCCGGGCGTCGAAGACCTGCACACAGCCCCCCAGACACGCCCACCAAGATCAGTGAGAGCTCCGGTCTCAGGGATGATCAGAAGCTAAATCGCGAGGGATCTGAAGGTGGGCCCCGGGCCCCCGGGGCCACACACCAAGCAGAGAGGTGCTTCCTCATCTCTGCATCGACACCTCCCACCCCAGGGCTGCCCCGTCCAGCCTTTCTCCTGCTCTCCTAGGGGAGCCCAAGCACCCCCACTTGGAAGATCCTATCAAAACCCCAATCCCAAGAAAACTGGATGGCAAGCACCATGAATCTGGATTCCCGCAGCCCAGCCTAGTTTCTCTACAAGGTGAGCGCATTGGACACCAGGCCTCCAGCACATTTTGTTACAGGCGGAGGTGCTTTCACTGGCATTGCTCGTCAATTTCTCTGTCCAAGGGCTTATGATATTCTCCAGCAACACAAGACCCCCTCGATGTAAAGATGTCCTAGGAGGCTACGCTAAAGAAAATGTTTTCTAGGGGCCAAGGATCCAAACAGTCCAGGCAAACCACCTCTCTTGCGGCACCAGGGCTTCCACAATAATAACAATAACAAGGCCATTTGGTTTGATGTTGGCCGCTAGTCTCCCAACTTGGACATCAGAGAGAAAGATCAGCTGGAAACCCTGGGTCTGACATCGGACCCTAGACTTCCCACGGGGGCCCATCTCAGGTTCACGGGTGTACAGAGAGAAGCTGAGGCCCCGGGTTCCGTCCGGGAGCCCTGGGCACAGCTCTGCTTGGCTGTTCGGAGGCCTCTGCCCAGGGCCCGCCCGTCCACCGCTTCCTCTCCCGCCAGGCTCTAGGGAAGCGCACCTGCAGGTTGGACCACTGGATCCTTCCAATGCAGCGTGGGGCATTGCGCCAGGCCTGCTTGGTGGCGTAGATGAGCTCATCTCCCGTCAGCTGGTAGGTTCCTGTTGTTTCTATCTCCTTTGTTACAGCTTCCACCCTGGCCAGATGTTCCTCTATTTTTGCCCTGGGGGACAGGAAGACATCAGGAAGATCAACAATGAGATAGCCTTACACGGGCATGAAGTCAAGCCACAGAAGCAGGAGCTGAATTAGGACACCAGGAGGTCAAGATGTCTCCTAGAGACCGGCCCCTCCAGGTCAGCGTCATGGGTGCGTGACCTGGGCCCTGAGCTGAGAAGGGCCCCGCGCGTGGTCTCATGCTCTGCTGTCACTGTGTTCAAACTCGGAATCCCTTCTGAACAGGGAGCCCATTGTCTTCGATTTTACACGGGGTCCTGCAAGCCATGTCGCTGTTCCCGATCCCAGCAGCACCCTTGTGGTCTCTAGGCACTTTTTCTCTAATCACGGACATCTCCGCTTGGCGAGCACGAGCAGGGAGTGCGTGCAACCCCCCTCAGACACATGCGAGACCCAGAGGAGCATCCATCACGCCACAGTCCCGTCTGCCTCTCGGCTGGGGAGCAGCCGACCACCTTCTCATGGCGAAGAGATGAGCCAATCAGTCCCTCCCACGGCATCTCCTGTGCACGGAGGACCTGCTAGGAGCCAGGTACGGGTGACGTCACTCACAGTCGGTGTCTCATTGGGCCTGTGAGGGAGGCGTTTTTGTGTCCATTTTATCGTCAAATGTATCAAGGTTCTAGGAGGGTAAGTACCCCCCTAGAAAGGGAGTGTGATAAAGCGCAAAGTCAGGGCTCAGATTCAGGTTTCCCTGATGCCACGCCCAGGCTCTTCACCTTCCACCTCCTACCCGAGGGGGAGTGCAAGCCCAGAGATGCTGAGGGCCTTCCCACGCTCTCCTGCTCGGGCTCCCACAGGGAGTGGCTCTCAGGACCCCACCTGCAGGGCCCCAGGGCCTGCTCAGGGAGGAGCCCTCCCCAGCAGGGTCCACCATCCCAGCTCTCCACAGCCCGGGGTTTCTCAATCTCTGCACCTCTCAGCCAGCAAGGCAGGTGAGGTGTCTACACTGGCTCCTCTCCTCCCCTCTCAGGCTTCAAAAACACCCCACAGGGAGGAATTCGGGCAGAAAGGCTTTGAAACACCACCACCACCACCGCAACCTTGCGATTTCCAATCAGCACCAAAAATGTTTGAAATGGCAACAAACAAAACTATTTAAGGAATGAACTCCTGATTAAGGAGAGTGGACAACTCAGAACAGAATGGCCTTTCCGTGGATGAAGAGTGCCCCGACCACTCTTCCTTGATTAAGGAAAAAGCTCAAAGACAAAACACTTGACACCATTTATCTTGAAGGATACGCCGCTGCTGGGTGAAGGTTGAGGCAGCCCCTTCTCCCTAAACAAAGCTCCTAGCAACACTGGCTGCGCTGCACCCAAGCATGGAAACAGCAGCCATGACCAGAGAACACAGCGGCCTCGCGCGTACTTGTTACCATGTGATTCTATAAGAAAGAATTCCTCTTTTACATGTTTACCCCATTCCTTTAGGATTTTATATTTTGCCACAACTTTCATATAGTCATGTTTCTGAGGCACTGAAATTGCTATGATGCCTTTTAGTTCTGGAAAAAAAAGGAAGTGGCTTTTGGCATCGGTGAACTGGATTTGAACAGAATATTGAGCAAGTTATGATTTCTATCTATACATTCCTTCCTTCATGAAAGACCGAACCAGCCCAGCTGCCTGTGCCTGTGGCTGTGAGTGTAATTGTGGAGACGGACTGCTGTTTGTCCTCCACTGCCCCCAGGACCTCATGGTATGGACTTGTGACTGTGAGAAATGGCTCTTTCCTCCCTGAGAAGCAGAGCAGCCCTGGGGCCTCCCCCCGCTAACATCCGCCCAGCTGCCTTCAGACACCAGCAGGACCTCCCAGGTCCAGCATGGAACCTTGAGGTTAGAGCAGGGGCTCTAGCGCCAAGCTGCTGGGGTTCAAACCCTAGCTCTGGGACTTCTGAATGTGTGTGAATGTGTGACTTTGAGCGGGTTCATCTCCTCCACAGCCTCAGTTTCCATGTGTGAAACATGCGGAGGATAATAATGGTGCCAATCTCATCGAGGTGTGGTGAGCGTTACTCACAAGGCACTCACGCAGGGCCCAGAACATACTTAGCGCTCGGTAAGTGTTAGCATCAATACAGTGGCCCAAGGAAGCCCATGGGGAAAATTCCCGCCCCCTCGTTCATTAGTCAACAACCTCACTGACAGCACAAGGCGCCTGAGCCTCCCAGTCACCCAGCACCCTGCAGAGATTCCAGTTGCACAACACACAGCCCGCACTCCCCTGTGTGAATAGGGCTCTCAGCCCAGCTGTGCGTTAGCATCGCCTGGAGATGTCTGCTGCCTCCCCACTTCCAGGAGCCCTGAAACTCGTGGCCCAAGGGACCCTGACACCAGCATTTTGCAATGTCCTCAGGCAACTCTACTGTGCAGCCAGGGTTGAGGATCACTGGCCCTGGGAGGTCACATTTCTGAGGCACTGAAAATGCGATGATGCCTATTAGTTCTGGAAAAAAAGGAAATGGGCCCTCCCGGCTCAGACATTGTCTGGTCATAGGAGAGAGCACGTGGTCTCACCAGAACCGCTCTTTCTGCCGCGGGGGGTCCCAGGTGCACTTCTGTGGCTCACTTCATGCAGTGAAGTGCCACATGGGGCTGCACTGTAAAAGCCACACTCCCCTCCCAGCCCATTAACCAGCCAATCCATGCTCTTGGCCATTCTGTCTCACAATCCCTTTGTGCATTTCTTATTTTAAAGGTTTAAAGGGGCCTAAGTGAAAAGTCATATATTTTATGAAACCCCGAGTGTAGAACCCCACAAAGTTCAGTGCAAAGAGCATGGCCTGCTTTCTCCAAGTCGGGTGGCCTGAATTCTAGCCACTGGGTGACCTCAGGTGTGTCACTGGGCTTCCTTGTTCATACCTGCAGAAGGACTTGGCTAGGTGGTCTCCAAGGTCCTATCTATTGCAAACATTTAATAATGAAAAGGTGCATATCCAGTCACAGGTGACTGTGAGCCAGGACATGGTTTGAAATCCTCACAACAATCTTATGAGCAAGATTCTATCGCCACCCCCGTCTGTTACAGGTGGGGAAGTTGAGGCACAGAGAGGGTGAACAGATTTCCCAAGGATGCAGGACTAGTCAGGATTCGAGCCCAAACAGTTACACTCCTGATCCACACTTTTAACCACCATTGCTCTACCTCTTTGTCTTAAGGATTATGAAAACCCACTTTGGGGTCTTTTTCCCTTGGGAAACTGTGCTTTAGCTCTGGATCCACTGCGAATCTGGGAAGGAAAGGGGCCCGGAGTCAGAGGGAAGTGGCTGGAGACAGGAGAGCTCCCAGGAAGGGGGAGGCAGCAGGTCCTGCAAGACGTGAGCCTTACTTACTCTTTGAAGGAGCTGTAATACTGGTTGACAAATTCGATAGCTTGAGGTAGAAGCTCGTCTGGGGAGGTAGGCTTGTCCCTGGGTCCTCTGGTCAAGCTTTTGGAGTTCATGATGGATCCCAAGCAACACTTGGACTTGCAAGCCAAATCCTGCAAAGAGAGAGGTGGGTGGTGAGGTGGGCAATTTTGATGGCCATCCTCTCCAGGGCTAGCTCTCCGGGCCATGTTCTTCCACTCTGGCTGCTCCAGAACTCCACCATCCCTCTCCACCCCTTTGGCACCTCCTCCTTGGTGTCCACCAGGCTTTCTCCCCACTTAGATTTCTTTTCCTCTACTGGCTGGACCCCACTGAGTGTGAGCTGAGGGGGTGTGCTCCCCCTCACCCAGGTTCAGCCTCTTGGTATTATTCCCAGCCAGCTCCAGACCCAGAACAAAGTCAACATCTCTATCCCTGGGGACATCTCGACTACCTTCTCATTTAAAGAGGCTGATGTGGCTCCTGGGAACACACTATTGGTGTTCAGCAGAAATGAACTGAAATGAGATGGTGCAAATCCCAAAGTCAGAGGGTGGCACAGAAAAAGTACTGGAAGGAAGTACACCCAAATGTTAACTGATAATTTCTAGAAGGTGTGGGAAATAGTTCTGCTTTCATGGTCTTGAAATTTTCAATTCTTTCCCACTTAGATGCATTAGATAGAATGCATTCTAAATTTAGAATGACAAATATAGGGAAATATCAAAGGGCCTTAAAGGACACTTAGTACAACTCCTCATTGGGTGCTTGAACCCCTTTCTAATATCCCTAAACTAGAGGTCTGGTGCACAGATTCGTGCACCGGTTGGGTCCCTGGGCCTGGCTTGTGCCCTCTCGCAATCCGGGACCCCTTGGGGGATGTCAGAGAGCTTGTTTCGGCCTAATCCCCACAGGCCAGGCCGAGGGACCCCACTGGTGCACCGGGCTTCTGGTATGCATATAAGATCTTTGGTTAATCTCTCCCTGCCCTTCCCCCTCCCCCCTTCCCTCTGAGATTCATCAGTCTGTTCCATGTTCCATGCCTGTGCATTGAGCGTCTGCCCCTGGTCAGTGCACATCACAGCTACCGGTCGAACAGTCACTTAGGCTTTTATATATATAGATAGCTCTTGAATCCTTCTAGTGACAGGAAACTCACTATCTCTTGATATAGTTCAGTTAAGTTTGAGCAGGTCTGTTAGAAAGTTCTCCCTGATACTATGCTGATATCTGTGTCTCTGTGGAAAAGAATTAATTTGTTCCTGTAACCGTTGATATCACCTCTGGATTATCCATTATCCATGAGGGGGGTTCACAGGGAGTTGGCCTCATTTACTTCCTACTGTTGTTTATGAGGAACACAGGAGTCTGTTCCCGGCACCCTTTACCCAAGTGGAAGACATCTTGCTTTGCCCAAGGGGACATCTGTCTGATCCTCTAAGGGACCTGATGGCTTCACCGACTTGGGACAAAGGTGGTTCCCCCTGAAGCCCCAGATTTCTCACCGCTTTGGCCTTGTGGTGAAGTGTGTCTTGGAGAGTCATCCCACTGCCCCAGTTTTTGACCCTCACATGTCGTGGGCAGGCTGATGGGGGTGCATCCAGCTTAACCAGGGATTCTGGAGACTTCTAAGAGGAAGAAGAAAATAGGGATTTCCAAATGCCTCCAACTCCAGGATCCCATGGGTCTCTCCCTGGCCCCTAGGCCCTGCTTTGGGTTTGAGTAGGGGTGGGGAGCTAGGGTGGGTAACAGGCCAGGGTGTCGGTCCATGTCCCTCCTCCCTTCCCAGCAGCCTGGCCACCTGGACCAGCGCCTGCTCAGAGTTCCAGGTGCCTGGGCCACTGGCCAGGCTTCTCTCCTCACCCAGGACCCTGCCAAATGCTCCCTCAGAGGAATTGCAACAGTGGGGACTAAGATTAGATGCAAAGGAGACTACTGTCACAGTCAATACCGCTGAGAACAGAAACCAGGATGAGGAATAACCTCCCACTGCCTTCCACAGAGGCATTTAAGAAAATGAAAACCATCTTCTCTCCCAGCCCCTCACCACCCCACCCCATGCCCCATTCCCTGCCCATCTCCCTGGAACGCTGAGGTCCAAAGCACTTAGGGAAGAGAGAACCATGGGATAGAGGCTGGGGCTGGGACCAAAAGCCTCAGCTGTCGAGTCTGGGGTAATGTTGGAGTGCCACTTCTGACCCCATGATGGTCTCCTCTCACCCATGCCAAGTCCTCCAGGTGCCAGTGCACCTTGGGGGCCGCCACTCCGGATCACCACGGATCATCCTGCTCTCCCAAAGCCCTTCCTCACCCCCGCCTGTGTCCCCTGGGTCTCCACTCACTGCCCAGACCCCAGCTTCCACCAGGCTGCTCAGCCTGCACCTGCCTGGGCGAGGGGGGAAGGGGCTTCCCACACCCCTGTGACTCACTGACCTTTGCTGTCCCCGTGAAGGGCTGGGGGGCCTCGTTCCGGTGCTTGCTGAGGCTGTGACACTTGGGGTCATCCTGTGTCACTGGACTGTGAAAGGAAACAGCTGTGATGAGATGGCGTATCTGAGGGCAGAGAGGGCTCTTAGAGTCCCTTCTGCCAGCCTATCACTTGATGGGTGAGGGCACCAAGGTCCGGAGAGTGGGAATGAATTGCTCATGGTCTCCAGCCAAGGAGGATGTGTGTATGTGGCGGGGGAAGCAGTCAGTCAGATTCAATCACCCCACCATCACCACCCTCCCTCCTCTTCTTCTCTTGCCTTCCCTCTACAAAGCCAAAACAACATGAAGGGAGCTGAACCAAAGCTGGGGGTCCAAAGAATGACCCACAGAAGCTTCAGGAAGATGCCTCCCTCAAAAGCTTAGTACCACCTGGCCAGCGTGGCTCAGTGGTTGAGCATCAACCTATGAACCAGGAGGTCACAGTCCTATTCCCCGTCAGGGCACATGCGGGAGTTGCGGACTCGATCCCTAGTTGGGGCGCACAGGAGGCAGCCGATCAATGATTCTGATCATTGATATTTCTATCTCTCTCTCCCTCTCCCTTTCTCTCTGAAATCAATAAAAGTTTGTTTTTTTTAAAGCCGAGTATCGTGGCTTTAAATCGTGGGTGGGCAGACACAATCTATTGCACTGTCCCCTCGGACACAATCGTGGGTGGGCAGACAACGGCTTCTCCCAACCCAGCAACACTGCCCACCACCCAGGCATTTTGGAGGATTGGAGCATTTTTATTTAAAGCATTCGATTTGGCTCGGTTTATTTACATATTCTAAATTTTTATTATGAAAAGTGTTAAACATACACAGTAGAGATAATAGAATAATAAGCCCCATGGGCCCTTCACCCAGATTCAACTCAATCAGCAATTATCAGCCCATGGCCAGCCTGTTGCAGCTCCACTGCTCCCGCCCCCACCATCAGTCTAAAGCAAGTCTGAGAGGCCCTGTTGTCCTTAAATATCTCAGTAAGTGTTTCTGGAAGATAAGGGCTCTTTAAAATAAAACATATTGGTTACATTTATCTTAAAACAATAGATTTAAAGAACTTAGCTGGGCCCAGCCAGTGCAGCTCATGGTTGAGCATCAACCTACGAACCAAAAAGTCACGGTTCGATTCCCAGTCAGAGCACATGCCTGGGTTGCAGGCTCAGTTCCCAGTGTGGGGTGTGCAAGGAGGCAGCCGACCAATGTTTCTCTCTCATCATTGATGTTTCTATCTCTCTCTCCCTCTCCCTTCCTCTCTGAAATCAATACAAATATATTAAAAAAAAAAAAAAGAATTTAGCCTGTCCTTTGGAGAAAACCCTGATAGTCTGAAGTCACTGAGAAACCATTGGCTCTGGTTTGGGATTTCAGGTTCGCTCTCCTGGCAAATGCTGCAGGGAACAGAGACGTGTGGCCCCCCTGGCTGCATACTCATGAGCACCCCTCCAAGCGTCACACCCCACACATGCCTCCTCCTGGGGTGGGTCACACCACAGGGGCACTTTAGTAGGAAAGCTGGTTGTGTTCCATGTTCTTTGCACTATTTTCCGGGGTGTGCGCATACATCAAGGGGAAGGGGGTTGGGTGGTGTTACAAAAGGGCCTCTCAATTTCCACTTTACACATATCTGTGATGTTGGAACATGACAAATGGGCATGCATTGCTTTTATTACTGGCAAAAGTAATATTTAGGTTGTGCCCAGTTTCTTCACTAGTATAAACAACGCCCCAAACTGTGAACATGGTCTGGTGTGTGTGTGTGTGTGTGTGTGTGTGTGTGTGTACTAGTAAAAGCATAGGAAAACACAATGTTAACAGTGACTAGCATTCAGTGATGAGAGCATGAACATTTAAATTTTTCTTTAGACTTCTCTGCTTATTCCAACTTTTTACAGTGACCACAATTCCTTTCCCTAATGGGGGAAAGTTTTTAAATTTGAAAATGAATAAACAAAGCGACGCACAGTCACCTTTCTCCCCAGGTTAGCAGATTTCCTTAGACCAGCTGTTGGGAGATGGGTGACCAGAAGCCAGAGGAGCATGTGAAGGTTCCGGATACTGACTGACGAACTATTGCACTGTCCACTCGCACACGCAGTGCAAGTTGGGCAACCACAGCTGTGCTTGGTCCTGCTTGCTCCTTCGTGGGAACAGGGGACCCTTAAGGACCTGCCCACTGCCAGCGCGGTGCTAGCTCAGACCCAGGGCCAGAGCTGCAGTCTGGTTTGGGGGAAGCAGGGGCTGACCTGGTCCTGACTCTCCCGCAGTTCCCACTCCTCCCTACCCAGCCACCGAGGGAGGGGGTCAGGGAGGAGCTCAGGGAAACGGACCTTATTTGTAAAACAAGAACCTTCTTGCTCTCTTATATCTGTCCTACAGGGTGCAGCAGCCCCAGTGCTGAAAAGCCTAGCAAGCTCCCAAGTGCCAAAACACCCACCATCCCACCCCAGCCCTCCTGGACGCGGATCGCGGGCGCGCGCGGGGCTTCCCTGGGTTTTGTGGCCACTGCACTGCAACCTCTTAGGCGTCCCAACCGAGGAGAACACTTTGGGCGAATCCTCATCGGATTCGAATATTCCAACCCTCCTGTTTTCACGGAAAACCGACGCTCAGAGAGGGTCAGCGCCACGTCGGGTTGCAGCCCGGTGCCCGCGCGGAGCCGCCCGCCTCCCTCCCAGGGCGGACCCGCCCGGGGCAGTACCTGGCTCGGCGGGAGCCGCAGGCCGGCTGCGGCCGCAGGATCTTGCGGAGAAGCCCGCAGAGCCGGGGCCGGGCCGCCTCGCACGCCGCGCTCAGGCCCTCGCGCATGGTGGCCGCTGGGGCGCGGTTGGAAAGGTCCCCCTCTCCGCGCCTCGCCAGCCGCTTTATAGCCGCCCGCCCCGCAGCCCCGCCCCGGGGAGGAGCAAACGGGAAAATCCGCCTGGACTGGGCTCAGCCTCCAGCCGGTGGGAAGCCCTGGCCAGAGTGTCCTGGCGGGACCCGCATGCCCGCAACAGGCGTCCGCAGGGAAGTCGGCCCTTTGGATGCCACTAGAGTCTAGTGGCGAACCTTTTGAGCTCGGCGTGCCAGCATTTTGAAAAACCCTAACTTTGGTGCCGCGTCACATATAGAAATATTTTTACATTTGCAACCATAGTAAAACAAAGACTTATATTTGTGATATTTATTTTATATATTTAAATGCCATTTAACAAAGAAAAATCAACCAAAAAAATGAGTTCGCGTGTCACTTCTGACACGCATGTCATAGGTTCGCCATCACTGCTCTAGACTTTCTCTGGACTAAGTCCCCTGAGAAAGGATTGCGGAGCTCGCACTGTAGTGCTTTACACTTTACAAAGCAACGCTTATGCTGTTATTTCATCTACTCCTTACTAAATGCACTCAAGAAGGAAACTATATTGCCATCCCGCTTTATAGGGGAGGGGCAGGACAGAGAGGTTAAGGATCTTGTCCAAGGCCACACAGCAGCCCAGGGGCCCCGCCCAAGCTCTCTCCCCTCACAGGGCTGCCCTGGGAAGTGCTATTTCTTTTCTGCACATTCAGTGTGATTCCAGGAAGGAAGCCAAAGAAAGAGCAGGACTGGGGATCACTTTTAGTGGGAGACATGGGGGGGGGGGGGCATTTGCACCAGGAGCCCCCTCGGGTCCATTCCCGGCTCCTGGTCCTTGTGATCTGGACTTTGCTTCCTCTGTTCCTGGCTCCTACCCTGGAAGCAGGAGAACTCCTAGGGCCCAGAGAGGCAGGGCAGCAGCCCCCGACCTTAGAGTACGCAGAGCCCTCCTGGACATATTACGGTGCATTTAACCCCAACCCAGAATACAGCCGAATGAAAGAAGGTACGCATTTACTCTGAGCCAACTGCAACCCAGCTCAACCGCGTTCCAAGTCACATACAATAGGTTCTGGCTCTTATTTTTTATACCTGAATGGACTTGGCAATGACTTTTAAAAATAAAAATATATTAACTGGTTCCCATTGCTTTCAGTATAAAATCCCCTTTGCAATGCTGCTTCCTCTTCCAGTAATATCCTCTCCCACCCCTTGCCCCCACCTCCCTGCAACTGTAGGTTGCAGTCCAGCTGGGCCTACCTCAGAAGAGCTCCTAGTGCCTCCTCGTTCTCCTGTCACCTCCTACCTCTCCTGTCACCCCAGCCCAACTTATAGAGCTCGTTAACCCCCCATTCTGCATGCACTCCTCCCCAAACCAGCGAGGAAGGCACCATTTCCCCCGCCCCTCCCTGACAGCAGGAACTGGGTCTCTTCTCTCTCCCTTTCCCAGCCCAGCACTTGGTAGGCCCTCAAGGAGAACCCATATCTTATAGAGCTTATGAGTCTGAATTCTGTTCAAACCTTAGTTCCACCACTTTCCAGATATTGACCTTGAGTAAGTCATTCAACCTTGTAAAAAAATAAATAAGGATAATAAGATGTTGGCCAGGATGCTGCCCCAGTTCTAACCACTGGACTCTACAGCCTCCCATTCTCAAGTCAAGGATTCCACATTCCCTTCCCATGTACTTCCCCTAGAGATTCCCATTTCCTTATGGGCCAGGACTGTGCCATGTTCCTTCCTTTTTCACACAGCATCAGGCACAGTGAGGCACACAATAAACAGTGGTTGCATCAAATTCCAACAGGTACATCCAAGAAGCAACTAGATCAGACCTGACATCCAAGATATGACCTCCAGTGAGAAGCCAGGATCAGAGAGAGGAATTGTGAGTTGGTGGCGAAGGGTGAGGGAATGAAAGCAGAGAGGAGATGAGCAGAAGGTGGAGGTGGCAGGGGAAACCTAACCTGTAGGGAGCACAGATGGTTTCTCCCATATTGTTGTTGATATCTGGCTCCTTCGTCAAGTGTGACTTAGCTTGGAACAGGAACTTCCAGAGATGAGCCATGTCTGTTGTTTTGCAAAGCAGGTCACTTCCCTGGCTTTAAACTCAGAGGTTCTTCTCTCTGGGGCTGAGGAAAAGGAAGGAGATGGTGACAGAAGATTGATGAAGAGTTTACAGAACTGGGCCTTCTCAATAGGGTTGGTTTACTAAAGAATCATACAAAAGCTAACATAGGTCTTGAGCAGCCACTTCAGCAATGCTGGCTTTGGGACCTGTGGATACAGATTACAAAGCTGCATAACAGTCTAAAGGGAAAATGCTGGGCCGAAGCTCAAAGGTCAGGGCACAGCCCCTGAGAGGTTCCTTTACAGGACCTGCTAGCCCACCTGACTTGAGCAAGAGTTATCGCTGATGGGCCCTGAAACCTGGGTGCCTTTGCCTGGGGCTGCAAGGTCTTCTCCAGCAGCTCTCATTAGCAACTGTCAACTGTCATTTTACACAGGTTACTGGGGAAGGCACTCAAGTTGTAACGGCCTTTCTTTTAAGATGTTGCAATTGTTGTCGATGCTACCTTTTTAAAAAATCATTTGGGAGGGAAATAAGTATTTGTGAAAAATGCACTCAACTCTTAATATTTGAGATCAATCATCTCCTTTTAAAAACACTAAAAGGAGACCTCACTACCTGGCCAGTGGGGCTCAGTGGTTGAGCGTTGACCTATGAACCAGGAGGTCACAGTTCAATTCCTGGTCAGGGCACATGCCAGGGTTTCGGGCTCTATCCCCAGTAGGGGGTGTGCAAGAGACAGCTGACCAATGATTCTCATCACTGATGTCTCTCTCTCTCTCTCTCTCTCTCTCTCTCTCTGAAATCAATAAAAGTATATTTTAAAAATAAGTAAGTAAGTAAAAGGAAACCTAAGAGGAGGTCCAGGTCTGGGCTGGGCTGTCGCCAGCATACCTCCTCGCTGGTAAAACCCCTTACAGTGGGAGGCAATGTGGTCCAGGTAAGCATCTCAGAGCCCCTACTGGTTACATGACCTGGACCAAGTTATTTAACTCAGATTTATTTCTTCATCCATAAAATGGGCTTAATAAATATCCATCTGCAAAGAATTTATTCAGGAGGGGAGAGGTGCATGTTGTAAGAATTGGATTAAGATAATCTATGTTTTTTTTTAAATATCTTAGATGACTTTCCACTCTCCAGTCTGAAATTTCCAAAAAGTGTTTTTCTTGCAATGTAGCAACCTCAGCAAATTTTTGCAGGAAAAAGAAAAATCTGAGTAAGGTGCCCTGTTCCAATGGCAAGGCCTCATTGTTGACATTTCTCAGGCTTTCTACCAGTTTTATCTTTGCAGGCAGAAAATTCCCAAAGTTTTCAGAGCCTTCCCAAGCAGGAAGAAGCAAACCCTCTCTAAACAGCAGCTTCCCCAGAAATGAAGACAACTCACCTCTCGGCTGTGCTGCCTCGACAGACAAGCAAACTGGGGGGAGACCTGAGCCTTGAGCCCTTCGGAACCGTCTGTAGCTGTCCTCACCAGGGCTGGCTGAGAGATTGTAAAGCAGTGATGCTGAGTTTCCGAGGGCCAGAGAGCCTCAGTCTTCAACTCCTTGCAAAGTTGTGATCACACTGGCAGCTAAGAGGTATATTTATATACCCCCGTGCCGCTCAGGGAACCGTTTTTGCATAAAGGTCCCTTTTTTTTTTGTTTCCAAAGGGAGTTTCCCCGGCTGGGTGTGCAGTTAGCTCATTTATGATGAGGACTCCTGGCCCGTGGGTGACTCGATTCTGCTGTGACATCACCGCATGTGGTGGATCCTCAGTAATCTACCTCTTCCTGGTCCCAAGTCCAAGGCAGTGAAGTAGCTCTTCAGCAGGTAGCAAGGACGATGAAGGAGTCATCCTGGAGCCAGGTTTTATTTAGCTACGCCCACAGTGCTTCACTTTCAACATCTGGGGATTTTTTTTTTTTTAATCTCAGTAGGTGGCTCTGGCTAATTCCTGTCCAGCCTTTCAGTTTTCCAGTTGGCGGCAGGCGTCCAGGAAGCTGGGGAGCAGTGACAATATGGAACACACTGGAAAATGCCCAATGACATACGGCCAGTGATGCTGGGTGGTGCCCGTGTTCCAAGCAGGTCCCTGAAATATTCAGCTTGAGGTTGTGGGAAGGGAAGAGGAGTCATTGGCACAGGGAGACCTCTCAGATGGTGGTGTCACTAATGTCTCACCCTGCAGCTCTACAGAAGCTATGGCAGAATTATGTTCTACAGAGAAAAAATTCCTTCATGATAATAGAAATTATCGTATAACTTCTAATATGGAAACAACTTTTTAATTTCTTTTTTAACACAGAAAATTATAATTTTTTTATAATTTCATTTATTATAGTACTTCAAAGAAAATATTCCTCTATGGTATGGATTGTCCCATTAGAAAAGTAAAATTGCCCTAGCTGGTTTGGCTCAGTGGATAGAGCATCGGCCAGCAGACTGAATGGTCCCAGGTTCGATTCTGGTCAAGGACACATGCCCGGGTTGCAGGCTCAATCCCCAGTAGGGGGCATGCAGAAGGCAGTTGATCAATAATTCTCATCACTGAGGTTTCTGTCTCTCGCTCCCGCTCCCTTCCTCTCTGAAATCAATAAAAATGTATTTAAAGGAAAGAAAAGTAAAATAACAACTACATTAGGGAAGAGTGAAAAAATGGAAGGGAAACACACACACGCACCCTGGATCTCACCATTCTATCGCATCTCTGCCATCATCCATTCATTTCCTTCCTATCTTTCCCAAATTAAATGCAGCATTATGATGAATTGAATTTGTCTAAGACAAAGTTATAAAAAAGACATGAATAGGATCTTTGTTAATCGAATGAATGAACGAACGAATGAATGAATGAAAATAGTAGTAGACTGCAATGAGTTTCAACATACCAACACCATCCTCTTTGAGACTTCAGCAGTTTGTTCAAGGAAACCAAT